CATAACATATATTAAGTTCAACCTGTCAAATATATATAGATGCTAAACAGTTTATTGGTTTTCTATATGATTAAGTTAAACATAGTTACCCTTGATTTAAATCATTAATTTGTTCGTGTATCCTTAATCAGACAGCTAGTGTTAAAAATAAATTCATTCATAATTATCAGCCTTAAAATATATGAAGCGTATAAACAACTGTTCGACAAGCTGTTGATTTGGTCTAATAATTCGTGTTCTAATTTGGAACTGTAGTGCAATCTGATTCACTGAATATATATATATATATATATATATATATATATATATATATATATATATATATAATTGGCATTTTAATTGTCCTATCCATAACATTACAACCTGGGAGGTGTACAATTACAATTAGATTTCGTTATAGAATCATTTGAAACAGGATGCTACTTGATAGAGCTTTCCTCTTGGTATAGAGCTCGTTAGGAACTTCAAACCCCAGAGCAAACACCTACGTAATTTGAACTTTATTGAGTTAACTTAATAAATCTTGCATATAAGGTATAAGGTTAACTAGTCACATTATTTAACCGTTTCTTGGTGATATTGAAAAATAACCATTGAACTTTTAATCTGCTAACTAAAACATCTGAAATTGATTCATTAAAAGTGAATTGGCTTGAAATTTTGACAAACGCTTCAGACAATCGAAACTCCATAGAACAAAATCCATCATCATCATTTAATAGTGTGTGTGTGTGTGTGTTTGTAAAGTCGAGATTTTTTTATGAAGTGAATAATTATTTTGCGCAGAAAAACAATCATTACCTCATTGATTTCATATGAATCTATTTATATTGTAAATTTTTTTTCACAAACTTAATGTAATAATTTTCCATTTTTTAATAAGTTTCACTGAATTAATGTATATTTATTGATAGATAGACAAATAAATAGACGACTGGATGGGTATAAATTTATTTTAATTGAAATCAAATAGTAATATAGATTGTTTGAATAAATTTATTCCAGTTAATTTGTTTATTAGTGTCATTAACATTGTTTGAATGAAATGTACACTTATTTATCAGTGAATGTTTGATTCGTGTAGATAGAAAAGAAGATTAACTTGCAAAATTTTGTAGTTGTACGTTTAGTTTTTGATGAAACTATTAATAATTGAATATTGAACCTTAAAATTAGGATATAATTGTGTGTTTTTCTTCTTTCCCTGAAACATTGGTGCGCAGTTAATTTACTATTGATTGAAGCATAAATACTATCAATGTGTCTGCACTCGTGTTTACATTGAAAATGAGAATGCTAACAATGGCATTCTTATGCTGTGTAAACTTTTTAATATTTCTAAAAAATTTATATCATTTTCTATTGAATAAAATTTACTGCAACTCTTCAATCATCTTGATATGTTTTATTATTCTTCTTTATCTAAACTATATTTAACATTTTTCAAACAAAACTCTAATCGATTTAGTCTGTTTTTTTCCTAAATACAAAAATTTTTGTATGTACACTGATCAAGACAGATTTGATGAACATATGTATAAAATGTAATCTTACTTATTACTGTATTACTACAACTTTAAACTAAAACATGTTTCGATTTCCTTTTCTTTTTATCACATATAATATATATATATATATATATATATATATATATATATATATATATATGTCATCATTTGGAGATTATAGTTTTGTTGTTTGCCTATTCTATTGAGAGTAATTTTTTTTATTAAAACATAATTCACCCATGTATGTGTGAATGTGTGTGTGCGTGTGTTGATTCGTTTATTGTTTGAATGGCATCATGTAATTCACTTTCTTGCGTAAACGCATACGCACTCACACACATGCATATACACATATATATCCGTAAGTATGATATCATATTTCCCTATACACCTGTGTAACAGATGTTTTATTTGAATTTTTTTTTTAGAATTGAAATTATTTGTAAAATCTGAAGTGTAGTGGATAAAATATGAATATTTTATTTTTTTTTGCTGTTAATAATCCCCTGACCATTACATGTTTCTTTGGTTTAAATGTTGTAATAATAATCATAATAATAATGATGATAATAATAATAATAATAATAGCAACCATATGTGTAATTGTGTTACATTGTGTTCATTCAATCATGACTAGTTTATAGATGTGTTTTTATTTTCAATTGCTTGTACTATATATACCTACACTTGAACATTTATCAAAGTGTGTTATCTGTCAATAGTCAGTTTAAAACTTGATAAGCTAGTCCATATGAATTTGTTATCAAAACAAGAAAAGAGTAGAAAAGAAGCTAATCTTGTTACTGTCTCTGTTATCGATTAGCATTTCAATTATTTTAAAAACAAAAACAAAACAAAACAATAGACATAATGATCAGTCATTAGTCATAAACATGGTGGAATCTGATATTATCCATCTATGTGTATATGAGTTCAAGTTGTTACATATGGTAAAACAATCAAGATAAATGCCAGAACAGTGGTATTATTTAAAAAATATTAAGCCTAGGCCATATTAGACAAGAAGTAGTAATGAATGTCTTTAGTAATTTTAATCGAAATAATTATGTAAGCTCTCTCAGCAATACATTTCAATTTTATAAATTAATCATTTCATCAATTAATTGTATCCTTTTGGTTTTGTGACCGTTAACATTATTTCAACGTATTAGTTTATGTCATACATATTCCGAACCATGTTGATTGATGATGTTTCATTAAGTTTATCAATTAATTCAATATCGATAAAAATGTTCAATTTCGAAATATCAGACAGACAATATGGCTGTCACAATTGATCATTGAACATTGATTCCATTCTCTGTTTGTTCATTTTCTCTTTGGTAAAAAATAAATTCAACCATACATACATACATTATTCTACTGGCATGTTCTTTCATATCCTCATGGATTGATTATTCTGTCAGTTAATTATAGATAGTTTAGTTTCTTATTAGAACGGATCATCAGTTTTTTTATATTGTAAGCAATCAATTCTTATATTCATAAATGAGTTATAAAAATACTTGTCATATAGATAACAATTCCTTTCTTTATTGTCGGATTCAATTTTAACCAAAGACTGACCAATAATCCAACGACTGAGTGAATTGGATTTTAAATTACCTTTTTCTTATCGATCGGTAATTGTTCGATGTAATTAGTTGTATAATGAAGTGAATGATCTAATAATTCATTATTGTAAATAAAATACCTTTCTAATATTGTTTGAAATGTGTATCCCCTCTTCAATGATAGTGTGTGTTTAGTAATTTAGAATTTGAAATACAACTGAACTTGGAACTATTGAATCATAGGTTGGCATGCAGTTTTATCTATTATGATTAATTAGTATCATCTGTGTGTAATATCAGTAATTTTTTACACTTAAAGGGCATTTAAAAATCGAATCGATATTTAGTGGATAATTTACATTATTATTATTATTATCATTATTATTATTATTATCACGGTTACTATTATTAATATTATTACTTATATATTGGACAGTAATTATCTATGTACACTGGTAACATTGATTTTTTTTAAAATATTTGTTTACATAAGCAAAAATTACAACAATAATGAACATTGTAGCATGATGTCAATGTACTTCATGTCGTCTGTACAAAGTTGTTTTTATTTGTAAAATCACACATTTTTATGTGAATTGTTCATTATCGAAATAAAAATCTACTGTACTTGCCAATGACAGAATCATTAATTTATGATCATTTTTTCTTTGAAAATGTTCAGTGTTACCTTAGTGTTAATGATTATAATAATGATGATAATCTTTATTACAATTCTCCCATAAATCTATTCATAGTCTTTATTCCTTGTTTTTACCCCCGTCTACTAATTATAATGTAATAATGTTTAAAATTATTCATGAATTCTATTTTGCTTGATTCCTAATAATCGATATTCCATTGTTTATCACTATTTGTTTGTTATGTCATAATAGCGGAATATGTATGATTTATAGTAGTAATTATGTGGGGACATAAATCATAGGTTTTATTGTAGGTATAGTTATTATAATGCTTTAGTTTAATCAGCATATTTTACTGCTTAAATGGGCTTTTTTCAATTAGAGTTATGGAGATAGGTGTTTTTCGCACATTGAAATCAATCAATCATTGTTAGATCACCATTAGGAACCTGGAAGCACTGGACGGCCGTTTCGTCCTGGTATGGGACTTATCAGCAGTACCCACCCATGACTCCTAACGCCTAACCTCTGGACCACTGGGCCGGCATCCAACGGTGTTAATATCGAACTTTCGTTCGCGCGCTAGACTGAAGGTCCTGGGTTTGAATTCTTCGAGGTGCAGGAGTCGTGGATGCGCACTGCTAATGAGTCCCATACCAGGACGAAACGGGCATCCAGTTCTTCCAGATTTATAATGGTAGTCTAGTAATGGATAAATAAGCTTGTTAACAACATTAAAAAAAGGAGACGATTATTCGTCATATTTGTTGTCTTTTTTTCCTTAAAATGTTTACTTTCAACATTTTGAAGTGTATTTTAGTTTGTAGTTGTTATTGTTGTTTTATTCAACTAGAAAAAAATATGTTGATACATTCTAGATGAGAGTTCCAATGAATGATTCATTTATTCTGATCAATATTAATCCGTACAAATAATTTGTCTATTAATTTGATTAAACACTATACATTCATTTAATAATAGTTGTAAAGGTTACACTCTAATTGTTGATATTCAAGCAATGTCATTCATTTTATGATTCACATCATCTTGAATAAAATATTTTGATTAGCTTTATTAATTAGTTTATAGGATAAATTAATCAATAAACAAATACTTATTTTATCGATTATTATTCTTTGAAGAAAAAGACTTATATATTTGTATATATATAATATGCGCAACAATATTATGCCTTTTTACTTTCTTTATTTCACTTTTATATGTTATAGGATACAGTGGAATATAGATATCGATATCGATGGCTTTATATTCGTACAATGGATGGAACTCGAAAAACTTTAAAAGTCGATGATAGTAAAACTGTAGCTGAACTCATGTTAATGATATGCACTAAAATGGGTAAGAATTTGAATATATATGTATTAACAATGTTTTGCACTTGGTTCAGCTGCATCCATTCTCAATTCCTCATAATTGTCTTTTTCTGATTTCCTCTTCATTTGATTAATTTATATTTTCTTGAATCGTATCTTTAGTGACTAAAACTTTTCTATTACTCACTGGTGCTTTTACTAACTTTATTATTTTGAGATTTGGCCAAATAATTTCATCACTTTATGAAAATAGACTATGGCAATTTGAACTGACTGACCGATAGGTATTGTACTGTCACAAGTCATTTGAAAAGAAATGTATATAAGTGTTACAGTTTAACACTCTATCCGACTAACTGACATTATTATATCATTACTTACATTCCAATTTTCGGCGAATTCTGTTCCTTAATCTTCTTCTTTTCTTTTGGCTTTATTGTGTCACTAATTAATGAAACTGAAATCAAAATTATTGATTATGAATTTCTCTATTTTTGAATATATTATAATTTTTCCCCTACTTGGTTAGCTTATAATATTATCGATGTATTTATTGTACATATGTTCATTTCTGTGTATCTATTACGCGCGTTTGTTCTGTGTTCCTGCGTATCTAAGGGTATGTATATATGTGTTTGTGTCTGTATACATCTATATAACGTAATATAAAGAGAAGGCAATCTTTTTCAAAACTTTATGATACATTTGTACATTTAAAATATGCTGATCGTACCTTTATTAATTAAGTCATTTTTATATATGAAAATTGAAAGCCAATTAGACAGTGGGAATATATGAAAATCATAGAGTGATGAGGGGTCGTGGTGATAAGGGGAATGTTAGGGGGTGTAGGAAGGATTTGACTGTGACCAATTTAGTCTCGTGTGCTGGTACGGGTATGAGGGCGGTTGTCACTTCCCGGCTGCCCACACCGTTGAGGAGTGTTTCTTGAGGAACCTGAAAAGGAAGGTAGTTTAGTGTTGGTCTTGGAGACTGTTATGCCTGCACGAAAACACGTCAAGTTGATATACTTGAACTATTACGAGTTTATCTAGTCGGAAAACGAGAGCGAGGATCCGGCGACACGACATGTTACTCAAATCCGATTATCCCAACCCCCATATTTAGTAAAAATAAGACGTGATTTGAAGTAGAACGTGTATTCTACAAGCATCCAGAAAGTACGAGGTCCGAATCCAGAAGAGAATCATGATCCCGGACTAGGGATCCGGGACCGAGCCCTGGTCGTGGTCGTGGTCATAAAATGTTACAGATAATGTGTATTTATACATTTTGGTCGAATAGGAAACAGCATCGAATTCTGTGGCATTGACAGTTAAGACGACCAATAGGTAGTAACATTTGAAATGTTATTGACAGTCCGGATGACCAATAAGAGACAACATTGAAGTATTTGACTTTGACAGTTAAAACGACCATAACTTTGACCAGTAGAAATCGACCAATAGGATTTGACCAATAATTCTCTTAGGATATTGGATGACTATCCTAACTGAGACCTGGGAGCGTGACCGCAGAGCTCAAGGGACAACTGCTTGAGGCCGGTCACGCAAGGCCTTATTATGAGAAGTTCTTAAAGTATTTCCTCCGCTTCTGTTTAAAAGACCTTATCGCCGGAGACGGAAATCTGTGAGGTAAGATGAGATGTGACATTTTTAGGGTTGACCTTTTCTAACTTCTTCCTATCCTTGTGAAAAGGCAGCATCGCTGCAGATTCTGGTTGTCGGAGGGAAACACCTTACTGCTTTCACACCCTTCTACAGTCAGCTGTTCGACTTTGCCCTCAGACCTTTAGTAGCTGCTTCTAGGCTCATCGTTCTCCAGTCGACCTGCTTGGCGTGGTAGAACGTACAAAAACGTATGTTCCAGCCAATGTAGCTCGGTTGGGTCATCACGAAAAACAAGCTCGATCAAGATGGTACCTACGTTCGAGGGGTAATAAGGAAAAAACAACGTTAATCACCTAACCGATCTTAAATCTATTGATTGAAATTCAGATGCTTTAATCATCAAGCCACTACTCCATCCATAAAAGTTGTTTCCATAGCTTAACCATCCCCTCTTTATCTTTCCGTTCTTATGCATCATCATGTTTTCCTGTTGAGTCTTTTTTCAGTTAACATTTTACTCATCACTTGAGCATACGAGTAAATATTTACATAGTATAATTGATTTAGTCCATTTTCAAAAAACTCTAGAATAAACTTGACGTGTTCCTCACAATCAGTATAATATTGAATAATACAAATCTTGAATGAGAATAATAATTTAATAAATTGACTAAATTACAATGAAATGTAATTAATCGATTTTCATGAATACAATCTTATCTTGTTGATATTGGTATTGATTAATTGTAATCAACTTTTATTTCAACGATTGTCACCATAATAACTTCTCACTTGGTCATAATTCAAAAGAATACAAAACATGTTGTTGATGAGTAAAAGTAAAGAAACAGACCTATGTAAAGCATATGCAATGAATAAGTCATTATTAATTATCAAATAGATTTATTATTGATTGAAACAATTCAACATATTACTGAGTACGTTAGAATCTCCCTTTTTTTTAAAAAAAGTGAAATTTCTAATATAAAAAATAACAATGAACGCTTAGTAGTTGTGAGTTTGTTAGAGAGAGAGAGAGAGAGAAAATGTCATCAATAAAGATTCAATGCACTTCCATTATTCACATAGTCATTTTATCATTATATGATTATTTAATGTATGTAGTGTGTGTGTTTTGCACTTTTCACTTGCTAGATAATCTGACAGCATAAACAAAAACTGATTGTGTAAACTTATTGCATCCAATAATTGTCTTGAAGTTGATTCATGCTTTAAACGTACTAAAAATTATCAAATAATCTTTCAAGATCATTTTACTTAGCATAAACATTTATAGAACTTCAAGGAATTATCGTCATTATTATCACCATTATTATTATTATTATTATTATTATTATTATTATTAGTAGTAGTAGTAGTAGTAGTAGTACTGGCAATAGTATAAAAGGGGAAATGTTAATACATATAGACATACATATGCACAGTCAAACATCAAAAAATGCACTACATATACCTTAATTCCATTGTATTGGCTAGTTTGTTTACAGACACACTGATCTGACTGTATCTTCATTTCAGTTTTTTTTTGCTGTTTGTTTCTAAGACAAGAAAAAAACATAATATTTTTGTTAATATTTAAGAGTATTTCTTATTTTTCAGTTGTGTACTACATCAATCTTATTTTTTTACGTAGAAATAAAAACATTATTTAGCAAAACTAAGAAAAATCGTGATCACTATTTAGACAAATAGAAAGAGAAAGGTGCATCAGTCACAGCCGTTATTGTGATTTTTCTCTCAGTAATTTATTGATTTACCAATATGTTTATCGATTATTTTAATGTAGATCTTGTGATAACTAGATTTATTGTTTTATAAAATGTTGTTTCTTACTAATAGTAACAGTAGTATCAGTCGTCGTTTTATTTCTGCCAACTGGATTGTATTCTGTTTTTTAAATTAAAGTGTGATGTTAAAAGTTGAATAAAGCGCACATATGCGCACGCAATTTTTTCTCCCTTGTCTTTCTGAAATTTGATATGTTTGTCAGTTAAATAATAATCATAACAATAATCGTTACGTAGATAAAGATAGATTCTCAACATTAATTAAGGTGTTCACGTGACGTGAATCGATTTATTGAGAGTGGCAATCATTTCACTAACTAATTGGAGAATTTTGATAAACTTAGTTGTCTTGCTTTATGCTTTTTTGATTTTTAATAAATATCACTATGGCTGTTGTTTAGATAAACGCACATACACTCACTGGATACATCTGATCTCAGTTTCATTTTTGTTTTATTTTAAAAACAGTGAATAGCTCTCTTTAATCGATTGCATAACTAACTGATAGTCTTTTCTTTCTCTCGGTGTACGTTTTCTCACTGAAAATTAATGAAAATATGTAGTTTATCTATTAAGCATAGAGTTATGTATTGAACTTTGAGAAAACATACCTTGTTGTATAGAGAGTTAAGGATTACCAAGGTATTGTGGTTTTTTTCTGAACTGGATGGTTTAGCTATTAAGCTCTCATTGTTATCCACGTTCAGCTAATGATAACTGTCACAGTGTGTGTTGTACCTTTCAACCCTCAGTCGGAATTCCGACATTCATGACTTAGCCTGTCTCTCATTTGACCAGCTACACATCCGACCAGCATTGGCAACCGTGAGTTAACTTCTGAAAACAAAAGTCATTCATCCATCATAATAATTATATTTCAAGCAGACATGGTTTATATACAGGCAGACTAGACTATATCACATCATGAAATGTAAAAAAACTACAATTATACATCAACAAGGTAAAATGACTGTGAACAAAGGAGATTGTAAATGATGAATAGCAATCATATCAGTATCAGTATGAAAGCAACCTTAAAATTGTTTTAAATTTGTATATATTACTTGTTGCAGCATTTCATTTTTAATATAATTATCACCAAAATTATGCCACGATTAATGTGTATGATCAAGAAATCTACAAAGTCTGTATGTTTGTTGACAGTATGTCCATTTGACATAATGATTATATTTGTCAGAAGTAATGAGTTGAAAGAAACTTTCTTTATATGTTTCAATATAATAATATAAGTTAATTAATGCTTGAGAGATTTGCTAAAACAAATAGTTTTACATTGACCTATCACATATTTTAAGCAGTTGAAAGATTACATTCTGGTCTATTGTGTTTATGCATCCATAGTGTTTGTGTCATTCATCGTTATCATACACTGGAACAAAATCATAAGTCAAGATGTACCTTTTTTGCATTTATTGTTTGTCAGTTGATTGTGCGAATGAATGATTTATATCAATACAATATATATATATATATATATATATATATATATATATATATATATATATGTATTCTCAGTACCTGACCCTTGCTTTATTTGCTCTATTCGTCCTATCAAACATCCAATTTTTCTTCATTCATTATCGTACATACAGTGTTTAGTTGATTAGTGGTAATTTAGGTCTTACTTATTTAGGATCTAATTATGAAGTATCTACTTCTCATCACTTTAGACACACATTTATGTGTATTCTTAGAGTGGCTGTGGTGGTGAGTGATTAATTTGAGATACTTGACTTTCTATTCAGTTTACAAATTTTTAAATATCTGGATTGCTATTAAATAGTTATTCGATTTGTTGTATTGACATCTCTATTATTAGGTACTTGGCTTCCAGCTAAACTTTAAGTATGAATGCTAGTGTTATTACTCGGTTTCTTAAATTGAACCTGTAGCATAGTGACTGAGAGTCAAGAGCCTTAACTACTGCCTCAGCGGTCCATCTTACGTTATAGTCTGTATTCTCAGAGTACGAAAAACTTGATACACATTCAAACTATGGATCGAAAATTGTTAGACCACCATTACAAACCTGGAAGCGCTGGATGCCCGTTTCGTTTTGGCATGTGACTCGTCAGTAGTGCGCATTCACGACTCCTGCTACTCGCAGGATTCGAACCCAGGACCTTCGGTCTTGTGTGTGAACGCCTAACCTTTGGATCACTGGGCCGGAATCCGACGGTGTTATTGTCTAACGGTGATCTTGTATTTGGTAGTTTCTGCCTACACCCGACAGGGTTGAACTTCACTGGTCACGTCTTCTCACTAGAACTCCGAGAACTTGCTTACGAAGCTAGTCACCAGGGAGCACATTGTACGATTTTTTAGTTAGAATTATGGAGATCATTGTTTTTTACACATTAAAATCAAGAATCAGTAATTATTAATAGACCATTGTTAGACCGAATTTGATACAGTTTTGTATTTTTTTTAGAAATGAATGTCTAGGATTGAGGACAAATTTACCAATGAATACGTTAGTAACACCACAATCGATTTCTAACCACATTACTGCCAAATTATGATTACTTACCAAATTTTAATAGTCTTATAAGTTGTCTAACTTTTTAGAAGAAACTTTGGATGAGATAACGGTCATGTTTCTTTCGTTTAAACCGTAATCTTCATTTCTCATCTATTCGATAGTAGAGACTGTCATTTAATGCTATACTTATGTGCTTTTAGGTTTCAAATAATTCATGTTTGTATTAGTCGAATCGTAATAGTGCACATTTCCAAGTTTAATCAATTCATGATATAGCACAGCTTATCATTATCATCAACATAAGATTTGACACTTACGTACGTTCGCTCAATTCATTGCACAACATTAGTACAACTGGATACATATAAAATGCAATGGAAATAATACGGGAACAGTGATGATGGAAAAGATTGAATAATAAGAATGTGATTCCAAGAAATAGAATGAAAAATACATGTGAACAAAAAAAGAGATGTCAACCATTGAATCCAACTATTGATCGTGGTTATCACATGAACGTCAATCAGATAGTTTGTATTTACCAACAGTCAGTGATTTCATGCATTGATGCCAAGTTCTACTTTGGCTACGCTTACTTCTTTTTCGACCCACTTTTATACCAGTTAATATCGGGCTACGATGTAGGCGTCGGTTGAGCTTGTGTAACAGACATGTCACAACCACCATGGCTATCATCCAGCGTTATCAGTTATTCCCCTCATTTATTGTTTACATGTTTGTATAATTGTTCAAAACTTGAAGACTTATCTTTTCCTGTTGCTGGTTTATGTTTACAATTCAAACATCGATTTTTCCAAATAACGGAAAAAAATCTTTTTTATTTGTAAACTTGAAACTCAATCGATAAGCTTTTGCATAGAGAAAACAAAAAAATTCTAATCGATCTCACTGATATAAATTAGAATTGATTCAGTCAATAATAATAATAATAATAGAATTTTTTTAAATTGAGATCGATTGGATAGATTTTTTTGTTATTGTAACAATACCACTGATTTCCTTTTTCTCTCTTCATCATTTTTATTCACGCTGAACGCTGAGGAAAGTGGGTTATACAGCGTTATGGAAAAGAATAGTTATTACTATCGTGATTAATTTAATTTTTCATACTGTATGCGGAATAATTGAAAGTAAACTAGTAAAAAGAAATGTTTTTATTAAGGAAGAAAACTGAGGAGAAAGAAAGAAAAAAGATTCACACTGAAGAATTACAACAAGCAAAATCAATGAACATTGTAATTAACGATGATTAGTTCAATAAACAATTCAGATTTCACAGCTTACCTAAATTCAACAACAATCTCACTAATAGTAGTAATTAGTACTACTACTACTACCACCAGTGGGATGCATAATAACAGAATTTCGTGCTTGAAACACTTGATATTATTGAAATGTATATCAATCACCTTGAGTTTAGTGTTCATGTAGCTCTTGCATAATTCAAGTTGACTACTATGAATATTTCATATTTATGTGTCTTGTGGTCATCATTAATATATCATACTATATCGTGAATAAACTAAAGCTAAACAGTACAAAAACTAGTTGATATCACCGAAATGATATAAGTTCGATTCTGTATTGCAGTGGTGATAAGTTCAATGTTGCTAAACTCTAAATGCTTCCTAGGATCTTAATAGTTGTTCAACTATTTGTTAATTTGTCTTGAACATAACTTTCAAATTATATAAAATCACCGTTCAAAAAATTTGAAATGTCTAAGTGATTGTAATTTTCAATTGTATCATTTAAAATAGGTATTTATAATTATGAAGAATATCTTTTGGCTCGTGATCGTGATGAAACTGATCGAGAGCGTACAATGACATTGAAACGATCAACTGGTCATCATCATCATCATACTGGTACATTGATGAGAGATCAAGAGAAAATGGAGAAATTAAAACGCAAATTACACACTGATGATGACAGTGAGTGAATACTAATAAATAATCGTTTTATTTTTCTATATTCATTTTACTAAATTGATTGTATTCACGTATCGAATCGATAAAAATGATACTTAATTTGACGTTAGTTTTGTGCAACAATCATGCTATTTATTCGTGCCAATAATTTACACTACTATAATCTCTCTAATTGAGATTAGTTAAAATAAAGAATACTAACATATGTTAACAAGTTAGTGAATTTACTATTTAGTAAAATAATTGCGACTGACAATTGATTATTTTTTTCAGCAGTATTTATCGAGTAATTGTACATGTTGAATTCAATTCATGAATAGAGAAATCCTTTAGATATCAAAATAAATAACGCAAAACCATAACTAATCAGAAAAATCTCTGGAAAATATTTTCCAGAAACTCAAACCACAACTCTTTCTACTTCTCTTCCCTATAAATAGAACTTCGAATTACTGACATTTCATGGTAAATAAGTAAACAAACAAACTGAATTATTACGATTCTATTTTAAAGTTCAGTTGATTTAGAATTACTCAGTCAAACTCTGGTTCGTTACCGAATTAAATACTCCTTGTTTTTTTTGTTGTTGAAAGTCTTTAGGTTTATTTATTTACAAGTTCACATAAATTCCGAGATGGTGGAGAGAAGATTTATAGCTCAAGTGGATGATTGTGGTGGTGTTTGGTTCTCTGAGCTGGATAGACTTCTATCTGAAGTTTTGTGCTGATGATGTTGTTCAGAAGAAAAATGAAAGCTCCACAACCAAAACATCCAGCTCAGAGAACCAAACACCGCAACAATCACATAAATTCCCCTTGTCTTCTTTACTCCTAAACTAACCATCGAAGTAGCCTAGTGTCTTTCATAATGTCCATCTTTTTTTTTTAAGAAAAATATATCAATGAGTATATATAGAGGAGTGTAAGTATCAGCTAAACAGTGTTGTTATTTATTCTAAGTGTTTAAAGTGTACCATCAGACACGTCATACTTTCAAAAAAAATCACCATAACTCATTAAATTATACTCCATTTTTTTGTTGTTTTTTTTTTAAAATTCTTCAATAATAAAAAAATTCTCTCATAAAACTAATCTTTCATTGATTGTTGTGTTTTTGTTCTTCAAACTTAAATTTACGTAGACAATAATTGAAATTGTTAATTTTCAAATTTATCATTGACTAGTAAAAAATTAAAATAATGTAATAATAAATCAATTAAATTCAAATCAATTCAATCATTTTTTTTGAAAAAAAAAATACATTTTTGCATATCAGATAATACAATTGTTTTTTCTTTTGTTTCTCTATTGTATTCTATGCTTATAATTATGTATATGTTTATATATTTATGTATTCATTCACTTCACCCTATTCACTTTCATTTCTTAGTGGAATGGCTTAATCCATCACAGAGTTTGAGACAACAAGGTGTAGATGAAAAAGAAATTCTCTTATTAAAACGTCGATATTTCTTCTCTGATATGAATGTGGATGCTCGTGATCCGGTACAATTAAACTTACTATACGTTCAAGTATGTTAACATATTTTTTATATTTGAAACAAAAAAGGATGTAATTTTTGTATGTTTCCTTTTATGGTGGTGTTTCATTCTCTAAGCTGGATAGTTTGGTTGTGAAGCTTTCATTATCAGCACAAAATTCAGATTGAAGTGAAGTATTCGAATTTCTTCACGTTTGACCTGTATAGCTTGTTCTGTTAACCTCGATTTTGATTGGTTACTATTGACCTTAAAAACCTGTCGTTGTTTGCACCTTTGTTTTGATTGTATCCTTCTTTTAATCTAAATTTTTTGAAGCCTGAATTTTGTGTGTGTTTAACTTTGACAACAAAAATCTACATCAGTGAATAATAAATGCAAACTAACATTTACCAATTCATTTGTATTGATTGTTTAAATCGTCCCATTGACATTTTGCACTGCAAATGATCAATCTCTTTGTCTTATATGCATACTGTGCGTATTGCTTCAATATTGTCTTTAGATTACAAACATTATAAACAGATGTGGCTAAGTGTCTATCAGTGGAATCTAGGACTCACGTGCCGTCCCATTTGGAAGCCGCTAGATGGATGTACCTGCATCTCAGAGTTGATGTTCACTTCGCAACTCAAACCTAGTACCTTTCAATTTAAGTGCTATTGCTTTGTTCACTAATGGTTGTAACCTAAATACATATAAAGGAAATCCGCACAATATATACATAATGCCAAAGAAACTGATCAATTGCAGTCCTAAACATTATTGGTAAGATTCAAAGAACCAATACAAATGAATTAGTCTTTATCCCATTGCACAAGTGAGTGGCTATCTGAACTCAGCAACTAAGTGAATAATGTGATGACTTGATGTCAATGCCGGAGCGAACATCAACTTTGAAATGCTGATACATCTAGTTAATGAGTTCCAAATAAGACGAAATGCGCATCTCAGATTCTACTACTAGTCACTATCCACCTCTCATAATAGCTCATATACTTGTAAATAATACATGCACTCCGTTGCGTTACACCTCGACTTATAGTAATTATAGTAAGAAAATGCATCAATTTCATAGCTAGAGATTTTGTCCCATTATATTCAAACGTAAACTGTCTTTGACGCTCTTGGTAAATTCTTTTGTCACAAATTAGTGCACATACTTTTTTTGTATAGTATAATTTTAGTTATGTTTAACTCAACGAGTGATTATTTGTTATAAAAATGTTTTCAGTGAATTGTTATTCAATCTATAATTCACAAAATCAAACAATGAACATTGATTATATTTTGTATTAAGTAAAAGTATTTATTTTACCCAAACAACATGAATCCTGTTAAGTGGATTCGTTGGTTAAAAATAAGTTTTCCAAATATATTGATTAGATATTTAAAAGTATTGATCGAATATACTTTCTGTACGTCCTCTTGAAATGGGGATTATTACCATGGAATTGATTTCTTTTTTTAATAAGTTTAATCATACACAGTGGTATAATAGATTATAATGGTCATTTTTCTTAATTTATTGGTTATAATCATAGTGGTAGATTATTAACATGTTACCGGCTCTTAGTGCGTATATACAGAAAACTGTTTGACTTATATCAAGTTATGTAATTCAACCATGCGTCACCTTAAAAAAATGAAATAACATTTATAAAATATTTACTTATCGAACTTACGATCACTATTTTTCACGGGATTATAATCGATCATTTAAAGAATCGGTGTAAAACATATCTGCTGAATATAAAAGACTTATGTGAAACTTCTGAATATCGTATCCTAAGCCCCTTTAGAACTTTTCTTTACAATATGTTGGAAACACTGACCTCAAGTAAACATGACTGATGTTGACCACTAGATGTAAAATAATGGTAAGTTGGTTAATAGGATTGCTAAACAAACATTAACATGTAATATGACAAATGTAACAGGTTGAAACTATCATATCGATTGAATGGATTCAGTGTTGAAAATGTTGTTTTTTTGGAATAATTTGAAACGGTTTAAATATGCGCGTACGTTTATCTATTTGACCATTGAATGTGTCGTATCTAACGCTGATATGGCCTATACTAGAACGAATCGATCGTACTATGCTTCCAGGTTTCTTTCTAATCATGGTATAACATTGATCCATTATTCTCTTCTTTTCAATTGCTCGTTATAAACACACTTGAAAATGGATGTTATCTATCTATCTATCTATCTATCTATCTGTCTATCGAAAAAGGATGAAAATGAATTTAACAGATAGAGAGAGAGAGAGAGAGAGAAAAGAAAAGAAAACCGAGAATCAGTATATTGTCATATGTTACTCTTGAACTAATTCAAAGACGATCACATGATTTGTGGTTATGAATTAATCTCGGTTGGCAGTGCACACATTTATATATATATATATATATATATATATATATATATATATATATATATACTTGAATACGCAATTATCATCGTTGGTGGTGATCGGTCAGTTAGTTAGTTAGTTAGTTATTTAGTTAAGTTAAATTAAAGCAGTAGTTTCTATCACATTGACTATTAATTTTAATACATTATCAACAATTAACTTTATTCTCAGTAGTTTATATCTTCATTTATAAGGTTTCTTTTCTCATCATATGAATTAGAATTATGTTGTGTGTGTTTTTTTTCTATTTCAAAAAATTCAATGTGTACATGTCATTTTCTAATAACATTTTTATAAAACTTTTCATTGAAGCCAAGGGGAGAAAAAAAAGGGTAATTAAGTAAATGAATGAATGATTGAATCATATGAGAGATTCTTTAGAGATTAATTAACAAGTTAATTTATAATTTGTATTTATCACAAACTGTTGTGTTTTTTTTTTCTGTTTTATTCTCTTGCTTACTTTTTCTTTTCTTTTCAATATATTAATTCATTGTTATCTATCACATGTGATGTATCTGCCTGCACATCCATAATTAGATTGATATGATATTAATGTTACTACAATGTTTACTTATATACTATACTATGTATTGTATCTTCAGTTTAACATACAACTGAGTAATTAACCGATTATGAATGAGTCCATGTTCACACTTTTCTCTGTGTAAAACATAATAGATACGAGTAGTGGACATGAACTTGGATTCATCTATAAACTAGCGAATAAAAGCGCATTTTCTAGTCAATATATTCATTCATTCATTCACAGTAGTGTAAATTTTGAAATAAATTAATGATAGAATAATTATATGAAAAGAATATAAAATGTTACATATGAATGAAACATATATAAATCAATAGTTAGTTAGTTGCTTACACCAATGATAGATATAAAATCATACTGAAATGTTGATCATTTGGTGCACATTGTTAATTATTTTAATCAGTAGTTTCAAGGAGTGTATGTCGTACTAAATGTATTTTTGTCAAAAAAAAATCACTTGGTTGAAAATAAAACCTAAGTAAGAAATCAATCTAACTATAAAAAATGTGTTCAGTGTGTTTGGTTTTATATGGTTAACTATTGGAGTCTAACTTGTAAAGAATCAGCTGTTCTTCCTTTTCTTTCCTATTAATATTGTTATAATACTCTTTGCAAACATCCTATATTTTTTTCACTATACTTAAAAGGAGTTTTTTAAAGCATTCATATTATATCATATAAACATCCGTTATTTCACTTAGATTTTACTGAATTTTAATTTTATTAAATTATTGGTTATTTATTCATCATTTTCATATAAACAAACAGAATCGATTTTTTCATATTGATGTTGCGTGCAATTTCATTCATAGTAATTGTTTTTAACAGTATCCATTCCATAGTCTTCATTTTCAACGTCTAGTCACACAACTTGAATGTATGTACTTTTACAGATTAGATTCATGATTTCTATGTATGATTACTATTCCTTTTAATGATTAAAATTAACTTTTCAGCCCAACTAATCCAATGATTATTTTTACTTGATCTTATCACATTAAATTTATTGATTAGGGCGTTTCATTTCTCCACCCTCTTCTCTTCTGAAAGTTTGTAGCTTTAGCTATCTAAACATAATGTGTTTTTGTATTTACTGGATACATATATACCACCATCTGTGTCACATCAGTGGCATATCTGCTTGAATTTCAATGTTTTCGAGTTTTTATAGATATAGTATTGATGCATGAAAGCTATGAGAAATGGGAAAATATTACAGTATTATGAGTTATCGATTCTTCCAGAGTATTGCTCTTCTGTTTACAAACTATACTAAGAATTTATCAAATAGTTTCAAATACATGAAATTATTAATAGGTGTCTTTTTTTTATAGAGTACCTAGCCTGTCGTATCGTGACTTTCGGGTTGTCTGATCTGCCAAGGGCGATGGTACAGTACATGACGCTATTGTTGTGTGCTAGCTTCAGAGAGAGTTGTATGCAATATACATGCACTCCGCCCCTTTATTGTTACCATTTCTGACAATAGTTGTCTTCCTGGACCTTAAGGTGGAATTCGACTCTGTGGATTGTGAGGTTCTATGGCAGTGTCTGTCATTCAAAGGTGTACCAAAGAAGTACATTAACCTTATAAAAGCTCTCTACTCGAACACTACAGGTCGAGTGAGAGCTTATGGCGAACTGTCATCGGAATTCTTTACTTCAAGTGGTGTCTGTCAGGGCTGTCCACTCTCTCCATTCTTATTTAATTTTGTTATAGACATGCTTCTAGATACAACATTATATTCGTCTTAATTTTTAGAAGTAGACCTACCAGGAGGCCCGCTTATAGGCTTAGAATATGCCGATGACATAGTTCTACTTGGTGAAGACGCTGACAAAATGCAGTGTCTCCTGACTACCCTAAGCTACAATGCAAGCATGTTCGAGATACGGTATCCCCCCTCGAAATGCAAAATGTTGCTTCAGGAATGGCTTGTATCGGCACCTGAACTATTGGCAGGGAGTGAAGCATTTGAACGTGTTGACTCCGCTTATCTGGGGAGTCCGATCAGTACTGACGACCTGGTTTGTGACGAAATCTCAGCACGGATACAGAATGCTCGATAGGCTTTTGCCAACTTGCGCCACCCATTGCGTAAGCAAGGTATCCGTTTGCTGACTAAAGGTCGAGTGTACTGCGTTGTAGTTCGTTCCGTCCTAATTTATGGCTGTGAAACATGGTCAGTCGGAGTAGAAGATATCCGTGGGTATCTTCAAAGCATTGCTTGTTTAACTTGTGGTGACCGAGTGAGCAATGCTGTTCTTAGGAAACGGGTGCTAGGTAGAGATAGCAGATCAATTGACAAAGTATTGAAACTCCGTCAGTTGAGGTGGTTGGGATATGGGTTACTTATGCCTAACCGCCAGCTGCCTTGCCGAGCTGTTCTGCGACGCAAGAATAGTTTCAAAGAAAGCTAGGTCGGCCAGACCAAGGCATTGCAGGAATCCATGAAGTCAGTGACAATTGGACTGTCATGTTGGTAGATGTAGGCTACCTGGTTGGGGTCCGCGAGATGATAGATATCGATTGTTAGAGACATTGGACGACATGGCTCAAAATCGTTTGCAATTGCACAGGTGTATTCATTCATTTTTTCCTCTCGAATTCTATTATGCAGAATTTCTCATCATCTCTATCCTTCTCCCTCTAAAGCTATCTCACTGAATTATACTTCTCGAATCATATCATCTAACCCTAATCTTCCCCATTGCCAGTAATACTTCTACTATCGCCAGCACTATGTTATTTGAACTGATCATTGCATCTCTCTGCTAAGGTGTAATGGCAACCTGAACTGATGTGCGTACGTACGTACGAAGTTCTACATTGCTCTTTGTTGAGGTGGGGTCTTTGTTTGTAGACTAACTATCAAATTCTATTAGCTTGTATATTATTACCTGTAGGTAATATCAACATTGATTTCTAAATCCTATATAAATGTGTTTAGATCAAGTAAAACTCGATAATATTGATGTTGTTTTATTGATTCACATGTTTCTATTTCGTTATTCATTAAATGAGATGAAGTAGAGTTCATCCTTATCGTCTAGTGAATCAAAACCAATGTTTTTTAATCACGATTGTTTATTCTGTAGAAATTTAATTAGCTTTATGTAAATGATGAAATTATTGAATAATAATTACACAACAATTGGCAACCTTTGATATAAAATCAATACATATATCTTACGCATTGTGTTCCGATAAACACTTAAATTTTCTTTTATGGTTATCTATTTTCCTGTCTTTGAAATCGATTATCCACTCACTCTCTTTTAAGTATGTTTGTTGTTCATGAATACACAAATTCCGATATATTTGTGTAGATTGGTGAAATGTTATGACAGATTCCATGCTAGTCAGTCGCTTGACATTTATTTGAAGTGAATGTCTATAATGTAAGCTCTTTCCATATACATTAACTTATATATATATATCAAAATCTTTACAATCGAGGCATTACATTTTATGATGAATTGTATAGTCGGCAATAAAAATAACTTTCTTTGATCAAGTTTTTCTTCATTACCTAATTAAAACTTGTCTTATTGTGTAATAAACACAATCATAAACTACAACTAGGATTTAACACACATTCCGTATTTCTTTATAAGTTGTAATTATAATTATAAACAAATAGAATATTGGAAATCAATGAAAACAAAAAAAAATACACGCTCTATTTTCTTTCTGTTCATCGCATACTAATTTAATCAATAATCATAAATGTCGAAAAAACAAATTGAATTAGCTTATATTTCTACAATTCTCAATATAAACAAACTTATGATCATTTACAACACTAACCATTTGATTGTTACTATTTCTCTCTAAAAAAAACATAACATATGGTAATTTGTTTCCCATGTAAAAAAAAATAGTTTTCTATTCTTGTACAAAAAGTAAATAACCTTGTATAATATATTACTTCTAATCCGAGTAGTTTTTATGTTGCCAACTATTTGTGTTTTTCTTTTCTTTTTGTCCATGTATGTGTCGCGTGTGTGTGTGTGTTGTGTGAGAGAGAGAGAGAGTTACAGAAAATGAATTTTTCTACATGGAAGGAAATAAAAGAAAAATGGCCATTGTTTAGATCCTTTTTTATTGATTTGTGTTTTTAGTGCTATTGAATATATTTTGATGAAGTGAATATTATGCTTCTTTTTTTTACTGGAATTTATGAGTCCAGCTTTTAGTTCTTTTTATTATTATTCTAGAGATTTTGTTTTTGACTGTTAATCAATGAATTGTATTTTTGCATTAAAAAAAATTGAATATATATATATCTATATCACGTTTAGTTAGTTATAAAAGTAGTAGGGCAAGAGAATAATATACAATCTTGACTATTTTGTAAAATGAATATTTAATGTGTATTGAATTTTGCCTTCTGTGTGTTAATGTCCGCTTGTATATTTGTTCGTCGATTCAATGAAATAATGCCATTATTGATTATGTAATGATGTTAATTCTGTTAATCTTATGCTATGTCTTGATAAGACAGACAGACAGATACAACGCAGAACTTCGTACATAAGTACATCAGTTCAGGTTTCCATACTACATTAGCACAGAGACGCAATTGTCAGTTCAACTCCCATAGCGGTAGATGTAGTAGAAGCATTAGCAGCAATGGAGAAGATTATGGTTTGAAGAAATTATTCAAGAATTGTAATTCAGTGGGATAACTTTAGAAAGGGGAAGATAAAGATGATGAGGGATTCAGAAGGTTGGAATTTCATAGAACACAATGAGAGTGGATGAACCTTCGCTATTGCAAATGATTTTGAGCCATATCTTTCAGGGTCGTGTAAGGCAAGCTCTCGACCACCACGACAACGTAGCAGCTATAGTCGGGTCTTCTGAAGTTCGCTGAAGCTATTTCTATTAGGATTCAAAAATCTTAATTGTGTATTCTCTACATCATGATACACATGTTCACAATTCTAATTATCGTATTTATAAGCATAACAAAGTCTATGATAAGTTCGATTTTAAAATATCATAAGTTTTAAGCAACTGATGAAAATCTAGCGAAATATTATCCTGCAGTAATCTTTATTTTTTCTCACTTCAATAGGAAACAGTTGGTAATCTTTCTCTACCTTTGGTAGCACAAATATTTTATCGTTACATCATAAAATTTTGTTCAACTTTTTCTTCAAAACTCATTACATCACTAATTATTCCCAACGCATTTGCTAATTATGATTTTTAAATATTACAGATTATGTAAGCAGTTGTTCTCTATAAAATTAATTATTAAGTTTAATTATATACTGTTTGATAATCTGTACGTTGATTGATTTTAAATCATCTGTTATGACGTATGTAATTTAATAACAAGTTAAATTTTCATACTTTTTGAAGAAATTCAAGATTGAAATTGTTTTAACTATGAAAAACTGGTACGAAATTTAAAATATACAGTAATTTCCACAATACATTGTAGAAAATATCACTACCAGTAAATGAAAGATTTTATTTACTCTTCAAAAATAACTAAGTAAAATTACACAACAACTGTTTATTAACTAAAAATTACAGATCAGTCAATTAGTGAATTAATAAAATTAAATGAAGGAATTTTTTAACATTGATTTAATTAATACCAAATGTATTACTGTTTATCATATTGAATAAAATTACAATGAACTAGTTTCTCGATTCATAGAAAAGTTCTAATTAATTTTGTCTTGTTCATCTAAGATTATTTTTACTGATTCTACTATTGACCACAAATGTAATATGTAATAGTTAACAGCTAATTTTTAGTTTTTTCTAAACAATTTGTAAATATTTTCTCCATCTGAAATTGGTATGCTTCATTTTGAAAAGCAGGTTTGTAATTTCTTTTTCCAAACATAACACCACCGAAAAAGTGTAGATATTTTTATTAAAACAAAAACTAAGTTCTAAAAGTCTCATATTGTGTCGTTTTCACTCACTGCATCGTGATGTTATCACTCTTCTTTTCATTGTTTAGCTGAAAGATGCAATTTTGAAAGGAACTCATCCTGTTTCTTTGGAAGAAGCTGTTCATCTAGCTGGTATTCAATGCCAAGTTCAATTTGGAAATTATGTTGCAGAAAAATTTAAACCTAATTTTCTAGAGTAAGTTTCATTCAGTAATCATAATTCCTTTTGTTTTTTTAAAAAAAACAATTTGAAGCAAGATGTTTCTATCCACTTGACGAACTGCTGATAGAACACTATAATATATAAAACATACAATTGAATGGGATATAAGGAAGAAACTGTTCTCCAGTAATCTCTCATTGTGAATGACATCACCACTAACCGAAATAGATCCGCAACAAATACCGTTACTCAATAATAATAATAATAATAATACCAATAATATGAAACTCCTGTTTTAGCTTTTCAATTAACCTCTTTTCCTTTGCATCTCTTTATCTTCGAAAAAATGGTTGAATATTTTTTGATATACTTTTGATAGACTAACAACTACTCAAAACATTTTAATAATAATAATAACAACAGTAATAATACTGTCAACATGATGGTTGTATCCATATCTACTACAAGATTATGTCACTTAAACATCAATCATTTATAATCACCACTGTATTCGTTGTGTGTTTGTGTGTGTGTGTGTGTATATATTTATCTGAGAAAAAATGTTACTGGATAATATGATTAGTTGATTATTCTTTGTAACGTATGCTCAGTTTTTCTGCCTGACACAAGTCCTGATGATATTGTGCTGATCGGAAACAAAAGCTTTTTTCGTTAACCGACTCAGCAGAGAAAAAGCGACAAATTTTATTCACTATAACATCTGGCTTTTCCACAGATAAGACAGTTTCATTAGAAATAACAGTGTGATTGTCATTGCCAGTTTTCATTGAAATTTATTTACTCAAAAAATATGAATTTTTTTTATCGATCACATAGGCATAAAAACAGTATATGCTTGATTCATCTGACCGACAAAAATCACTTTTCACTTTTATCCCAAGCTGACTACTTAAATCTAAATTGATCGAGTGTCAGGTCAAATAAATTTTTCTTTCATATCTACAGTACCTACCTTGAAAATTAATAAATATTGAAAAGTAACTAAATATTGGCTTTGTATGTTACTTGTATAAGAAGCTGTATTCTCGAAATCAGTGTAAGAAGTTTAAGAAAACGTGATTTTAAGAAGTGGAGTGGCCAAAAACTTAAATATTAAGAAAGAAGAGGAGCATAGCCTTGATTAGGAGGTTAAATCTGTTTAACGAAAGTTTAAGCTGCATCTTACGTTACAATGTGTCGTTCTAAAAAAATAGTTTGAGTATCATTCATTCTACTTAGCGATCATAAGTAATGTACAGTGTACAATACAAAAATTGCGTTCGGGCAACGGTAATCACCGTAACTGACGAGAGTAGTTTGATTGTAGATTGTGTATGGTTGAGCTTGATTCTTTTGGAATTCATTTGGTATTAATAAACATAATTTTTTAAATTTTCATTTCTATTTACACAGATTTATCAAGCAGCTTACTGAATTATTTAATTTAATTTAATTTATTTATTTACTTTCTTTTATAGTTTAAAAGATTTCTTACCTAAAGAATATACCAAAATACGTAGTTTAGAAAAGAAAATTTTTCAACAACATGCTGAATTATGTGGTTTAAGTGAAGTTGAAGCAAAAGTGAAATATTGTCATTTTTGTCGATCATTGAAAACTTATGGTATTACATTCTTTCTAGTGAAAGTAAGTCTTTTTTTTCTTGTTCTCTTTGTTGTTGTTGTTGGTGGTGGTGTTATTCCCGTGCAAATTCCATTCATTGTTTATTGATTCAATCAAAGTGAACTACGCCTAGTACTTTCCTACTTTCTCTCTCTCTCTCTCTCAAATACATTCATTGCTTATGAAAACATCAAGCAATAATTCAGCGCTATACTTTTTCTCATTATTTTCTATAAATAATATTTGTGGTGAGGATTTTATTTCTGAATACAAAAAAATTGTTTGTTTGTTTTTTTTCAAAAAATTTTTATCAATTGCCACTAGTCATTATTAATTGTGAAGAATTTTTTTCGGCAAATGTCATATCAAAGAAATTTATAGTGTAAAACAAATGATATATTTCTCATATACTATGATTTTTCTGTGTAAATCTTTTAAAGAATTTCAAATAATATTTCTACACTAAGCATATATGTCTCTTTGCTTGACGGGGAGAGCGAGAGAGAGAGAGAGAAAAATTAAAACAGTGAATTTCAATTAGTTTTTGTATTTTTTAAAATTGAACAATGAGTTATTATTATTATTATATTTTATGCTTCATTCTTAATATCTACACACACTCAATGTTATTTGATCTTTGGAGTTCGTGCATTACACATTATCATGTGTGATTAAACACTAGAATTTATGTTCTTATGTATCATTGCTTTTTGAGAAGAAATTTTTCGGTGTATTCGACAGAACTATGTCTTTTTCTTTTATCGTTATGCATTTTTATTGATTTTCATTTGTCATTAAGGAAAGAATCAAGGGTAAAAATAAACTGATACCACGTTTATTGGGTATAACAAAGGATAGTGTAGTTCGATTGGATGAGAAAACCAAGGAAGTTTTGAAAATTTGGCCATTGACATCCATTTGTAAATGGGCTGCTTCATCACATGCATTCACTATGGTAAGCAATTATCAATAAAAAGTAATAATAATAATAATCATAACTCTTGAAAATTGTTTTAATCTTTCTAATAAAGCTTCTTTTTGAAGAAGATAATGATTCAAAGTCACCATCGCCAGTGATCAAGATGCCTTTGTGTATAGTTATTATTATTTTTAGTTATCTCTTTCTCACGAAAAGTTGCCTATGTCTAGTTCACCTGTGTTCACCTGTTGATATTATGCGATGATTATTTATCGTCATTATTACTATTATTATTATTTGCTTTCCATTTTATTGGGAAAGAAATTTTTTAGAATGGGAAAATTTTATTGAATTTTTTTTATTTTTATAATTATTATAAGATTTCAGTGTTTGTTTTAGATGTTCTATGAAAGTAGGAAATTTATCGTATAAATTTTGTTTGCTATGGGAAAGAATTTTTAAAAATTTTTCTGTTTGTGGCTTCCAACTCATTCTTTTTTGTGCGGTCTATAGAGAAATTTCGTAGTGTTGTGATATAAATGCGTTGTTTTGTGAATCTTATTGTATCAGTAGTTTCGGCTCAATAGTTTAAGTTATTTGCTTTCAATCATTCAATTTCATGCATAAATTTTGTTCTGCTAACTTATAGCATAATAACCAGCCAGATTAATATGTTCAAACCATCGGCAAGTAGTTTTAGTTTAGTATCTGCTACATGAATATGTTATTAGTGTAAGATGCTTGTGGATATTGTTGAGTTTTATATTTTACATCACGAACTGATTTTAATTAGATGGCCATCGAAAATCAGAATCCGCTGGAAGCCTATTTCTTTCTGCTGCGGGACCAACATTTAGTGAAAGTTGAATACAAGCCTTTTAGTGGTGTAAAGTTTAGACGCTCGCTGTAGGCCTGAAGCTTTTGGGTTTGATTCCCATTATTTTTTTGTATATATGCTGTTAAGACACCTCATAGTAGAACGTAAAAGCCTCCCCAAGACTTCCTGGTTTCACTTGCTCCTTAATAAGGTCAGTCTGTGGTGTAAACTATAAAACTGAAATTTGTATTTGCGTACTAAATGATTTTGTTGTTATTTATGTCCACTGTCTAATACTAAACATAATAGCCTATATCATCTACTTGTACAAGATGTATAGCTACAATTTATGAAATACATATCTACGTTAGAGATTTTAAAATTCTTGGATATTGCCTATTATTCTTTACGGTTCATTTTCTTTTCCCGGGCTTTTGAGAAAAGATTTCACTGTGTTGTGAAGAATGCTAAAAGCAGTTAGCAGGAATTGTGGTTAGTCTTGAAGTCATTACAGATGGACATTTAAAATCTTGTACACTTATGGAAAGTATTATCTTATCTGATATTGACCATCTACTCTGTTGCGGTATTAGATTCGACGTTCGGCTTACCACTTTGTTAGCTCAATATATGACTCCATCATTTATGATCGATCGAGTATGCTATGAAATAAATCTTCCCACCAGTTTCTGTATATTATACTTTGGCGAACTCCGTTTGTGCAACGACGGTAGTAAGTCAAATACGGATTCAGTTGGATGAGTTTATTTTAGGCAAATGTTCACACAGATATGAAATCGAAAAGCATACAAGCAAAGTGAAACGAAGTGGAGAAGACGAGAGAGCCTACTCGACTCGATAAAGCATGACTAAGAATTTATAGTCAGACAAAAATAAGCCAGACATATAATAAGCGAGTTAGGTGAGCACACACACGAATAAAAGCAACGCAGATATGAGCGAATGACTAACAAGATCAGAAGACAAATGGGACGAACTTTGTGAGCTAGACACGAAAGCAGTCACTACAACTCCACTAACATCTACTTGTATATCTTCAAGTAGAACAAGGCACCAACCAGTACATTAGAATCCATGCACGCAAGCAAAAATATTAAAGCCCCACAATACCTTATTCAGCAGATATACCATGCGATGAATATATAGTAAGAGGTGACGTAATCAAAGCTTGTATTCCTAAACATGTTCCTAATTAAAAGTTGTATGAATGCTCATCTTATTTAAAATGAAGCAAACATTTTTTTTAAAAATTATATGTGTATGTTGATTTTGGAAAAGAAACTTGTTGAAAAACCGTATGCCAAAAATTTGCATACTGTTCTAAATGTAGTGTATTGTAATGTTAAATCAAACCATTAATAAAAATAGTAATCCCTAGTTTAAATATAACTATTGTATATAGCTTGTTTTTTTATACTAAATCATTTCAAATAATCATTTTTAGATAGATTTGTTTCACCGTAAATATACATTCAAATTGTCATTATTAACTTAATAATGACAAAAAAATACGTATGGTGTAATTTCATAGTTTAATTTATGTACGTTTGAAAATTTGAAGCGTTTTTCCCATTGTATGTTAGCATTACTCTGTACCTAACTTATTCTAATCGATTGACCAGACAATAATAAGGAACAAAGACAAATTAGTACTGTTTATCACAAAGTTTTTTTTCTTGTTTTCAAGTTGCACAAAGACAATATATTACTGGGGATATGAATTGATGAACATAAAAAAAAAAAATTGATACACCATCTCATTTCATCTTTCTAGTATTTTTATCTTTTTTTTCTCTCTATCTCTTAATAGTCTAGACTTAATTCTAAGTGCTGTCATTTTTTTTTGAAAAGAAATCAAATTCTCTCTATTGATTTTTTCATAGAAATGATTTTGTTGTTTTGTTTTCAAAGTTCTCTGGTGCTTTTTTACCCTTAAACTATTATTTTTATTGTTAGATTTTTATGATGCTAAATTGTTTTAATCGGTGCTAAATGAAAAGATTTATATTTTTATTTGTTTTGTTTTTTTCTAATACATTACACTTATTCGTGAATCACATTTATTATCGTATATTTTGTTACTTCATACTCTCTCATTGATGATGATATTAATAGAACCGGTAGTAGGAGTAGTAGTTGTTGTAGTAGTTGGAAGTTTCACTTTTTTTTATGTCTACTTAATGATTTATTTTATCTCGGTAAGTTCACTATTAACCCACTGAAAAAAGCTAACTAAAATTAAGTGTGTTCTTGGATAGTGAGTTACATTTGTTCAAGTTTACGATTGTTACATAGATAACTTAGTGACCATGTGTTGTATGACTTCAATTCTCTGTATACTTCGTACATTGATTGATCAGTGTGTTGAATATATATATATATATGCAGTGAATAAATGAAGCATTTACTTCTTTTTTTATCATTTAAAGGATTTCGGTGAATACTCACCCGATGAATATTATACAGCTCAAACATCAGAAGGTGAACAAATATCTCAACTGATCGCTGGTTACATTGATATTATATTGAAAAAACAAAAAGCTACTGATCATCCCGGTTTACAAGGTGATGAAGAGTCTGCAATGTATGAAGAGAATGTTCAAGCTGAACGGTTAGTTTAGCATGTATCTATATCTCTTTGTGTGTATTGGGGTATAGTCTGTATTTTACTTGTTTGAAGCAGTGTTATCACATGAGTTGTTCTTCTTGTTAAGGTTAAGAACCTTCGGTTATATTTCACTAGCCTGTGTAGTTAGAGTATTGATTTTGATCTTATAAAAAAATTCTTTATTATTCAATTTATCATTTTGACTTTGAAACTTCACACACACACACACACACACACTTCACATCGGCAACATCGCATGAAATTCTTAAACAATAACAAATAAAAGGTATTTTACAAAGTAGACACATTATAGATTACACTGGAATTCAGGCAATCTATTGCATCCTATTCGGGAATTTATCGAATGGATATATCTTCATCACAGTGTTTATATTCACGCATCGTGGACTTATTTACTACTAGATACAATCTATCTATTCCATCAGACATGTAGGAAAATTTCTATATCAAAGCAGTCTACATATGATGCACATAGCAAGGACTGGTCAAGATTCATTCCTGAATGTCAGTCATAGGATAATTCTAACCCGAGCTAATTACAAAATTATGTGTTAGTTTGCAAGTTACTTTTGTCCAGATTTTACGAGATGTGCTGATAATTACTTGACACATAAATCGGCCCCACTGTAGACATTCATTCTGTTTCCTCGTTATAGGATTATCGACTAGGTAATGGTGACTTTTTCGGTACAGGGTCCTAGATAAAAATCGAAAATCGGCTAATCTATTAGTAGAGTGGTTCTACGATGTATTCCATGTGCCTGATTACCGCCTACCTCAACTTACGATGTATTCGATTATAGTAGTAGGTTGAAGGAAATTTTGGCGCTGCTAAACTAATACGTAGAATTGGCCCATACATGCATTTGTCATTAGACTGAACTGTGTTGTTGTGTCGAGATTACCTGCCGTGTTTACGTGATCAGTTGTGGGAGTTTCTGAATAACATGGTTCAGAATCGATCACAATAACCCATATGCATTCATTCGTTGTTTCAAAAAAATTTATAATTTTTATTCATCAAATTCATCCATTCTCCTCTAATCAAATCTACCTTTATGGCTATTCTTCCTACGCCTACTACTCTACCATTTTTTCCTGGTAATTTCATCCTGCTGTGTTGATGTGTAATGACAATATGCTAAGTTTTAAGTTGCTTATAATTGATTAACTGACGACTTGGATTTATTTTTTAATTAATCGACAATTTGTACGGATTTGTATATTTGTATTTTTCTCTTGGTTATTATTATTATTATTGGTTTAATTTGTCAGTTTTATTTTTCGTCTTTGCTTTCACATGTTCACTCTTTCTCTCTCTCTCTCTCTCTCTCGATCTGATTGATTAGTGATAGTAGTGAAAATGTTTTATATATTTCTAGTGAATAGTTCACTTTTTGTCATACATTCAAATTGATCTTCACTCATTAACTGGTTCCATAGGTTAATGAAAGAAAAACTTGTCAACTTTTATGACAAGTGAAGTCAATTCAACAGTTTCTGTATGTGTGTGTAGGTGTATGCATGGAGCATACATGTGTTCATTTTATTATTATTATTATTGTTGTTGTTTGAATTACTTGACATTTTTTAGAAATGTTGTATGTCCTATAATAGAGAAAGATTATAACCACTTTTTCTGTTGATCATATTCGTAGCCGTATTTGAAATATTTATAGAAAAACGGTGTGATAATCTGTAACATACCACGTTCTATGTCGTTTATGATTAATTAACAACTTACATTACGGGGTTGTGAAGATTGTTAAGTTACACATTATGGAAACCATGAATCGATCAATGTTAGACCACCATTAGAAACCTGGAAGCACTGGACGGCCGTTTCGTCCTGGTATGGGACTCCTCATGGTTTCAAAAATTGTGTAACTTAACAATCTTCACAACCCCGTAATGTAAATTACCTGTGCTCACTAGTGACTAGCTTCATGAGGAATCTTCTCCGAGTTATAGTGGGAAGACGTGACAAGTGAAGTTCAACCTGTTCGGATGTAGACAGTAACTACCGAAGACTGTGTATGAGGTTGCTCAACTTCGTGAATTGATCAAGTTAGACATTAACACCGTTAGATACCAGCTCAGTGGTCGCCTACAATGCCGAAGGTCCTGGCTTCGAATCCTGTGGGGTGCGGGAGTCGTGGATGCGCACTGCTGAGGAGTCCCGTACCAGGACGAAACGGCCGTCCAGTGATTCCAGGTTTCTAATGGTGGTCTAACATTGATCGATTCATGGTTTCAAAAATGTGTAATTAACAACTGAAAGATTTGTATAAGTATATTTCAAAATCATTCTATATGAAACTGAAACTTCTGGAATTCATCAGATTAGCAATAGCGAGAACTACTCACTAATAGCATTCAATAGGAATGTTTTATACAGTACAACTAGATTGAAGTGAAGAGGTTTGGACGGTAAAATTCTGGTCACCGATTCATAGCCACCTGATTATGAATTATATAATTCCGTTTAATCATATCCTATGAAGCTTCTTTTACATAGTTTAAACGATTAACTGATGTCAAATTTCAGTGATCATTTATTTCTATTGTCCCACAGACCAGGAATCCTACTGTCCCCCATCCCTGTATCTACGAAAATAACCGTTAAAAATTTTGATGGTTGACCATTTCGATTCGTATATTATTATTATTATTATTATTATTATTATTATTATTATTATTATTATTATTATCAGGGCTACAATTGTTCAGCATCAACGTGTCCCTGTTCGAGGTCGAGCAAAGGAACAACTTGTCAATGGTGTAGTGGAGAAACCATTCGATCAACAGCAATACAGAAAGAATTTATCTAGTAATCAATTACACACCAATGGTGTATGGTCTGTTCATCAACAAAATCTTATAAGTGATGAAAATTCTACATTAGTCGATGGTCAAAGTGTATTAACAGCAACAACTACACGTCAAATGTCACCTGATAATTTTATGACTGGTGGAGTAAGTATATATTTCATGTAAATACATGCATTATTACCTGTTACTCTTTGTAGAGCCGAATCTGTTTTAAGCTCTCCTTTCCTAATGTTCCCGTGTGCTATTCATTCTTTTGATATCTGCCTTCGATTCCCGGCGCAGTGTATTCTTTGGTCATCCTCTTTCTTTCATCTTGGGGATTCTAGGTTATGGCTTGCCTTGCAATCCAGTATGATGATTTTCTAAATGTTTATCCTATTTACCTTCAACGTTTTTTCCTATTTTATTCTTCACCTGGAAGCTAGTTTGTTCTCTGGCACAGTAGGTTGTTGCTCATGGTGTCTTACGACCGAACCTGAAGTATCATGTGCAAACAACTGTTTATAAATACCAATACATTTTGATGATGGTTGTAGTGATACTTTGCCTGGAGCCCTTCAACAGTTACCTCCAGCCCTATACCCGGATAAGGTTAGAAAGTTAGCCATGAGGTTTACAACCCCATCCCATAGAAAACAATCTTTACAAAAAATACCAACCACAAAAAACCATATATATATATATATATATATATATATATATATATATATATATATATATACTATTGATATATCGCCCGCAGAAATTCTGTACTCCTATATGCTCAGTATCCCCGTATCTCACTATCAATTAATCATTGATTAAGTTTAATACTTGCTATTCTGTCCGATCCACCGTAGATGTAAATAAGTACATTGTTTTTAATTTTTTTTTCAAGCTGAAATATAAAAAAACAGGTTGTTCAAACTAACCATATGTTTGAAGTTCATTACTATATTTTGCTTTTTTTGCTAATAAAATACCAATGAACCATTCCTTACATAAATTGATAATGACATTATATACCCAAAAAGTTCATCGAATTATGTTTCGCTTTCATAAGGTCACAAAAGCATAATCCATTTCATTGGTTCAAAGAGTGCATTTCCATATCTCATTGATTGATATCGTTTAAAACACAAATTATTGGTCAGATACAATCTAAATGTACTTTTATCAATAATGTTATCAGTGCAAAATAATCATTTAACTTTCCGATTACATGTTACTCCATAACCTAATGAACACAGATTCCGTATACTAAGTGTTGATCCAAACACCATTCATGATATCCAGTAGAGTTTAAGCTTATTTCTCAATGATTGGAATTTAAGCTATCGGTATACTTAAGTCCTATGTATACAGTATACTTAAACCTTCAGGTTATAAATACCTAAAGCTTGTGCTTAGACTTTTCAATTTGTTCTATCCTCTATTTACTTAGTTACAAAATAGAACTGATTATTTTTCTTCCACTATCGTACTATAGAATGTAAACATTACTCAAAACACCTCACATGGAATTCATAGAAATTCTATTTCATCTTCTTGGTATAGATTTCAAGAAATTAACTATTCATTTAGCCATAGGTGATCGTAAATATTTTATATAAAGCATTTTGAAACAAATGGATAATATTGAAATCATGAATAGATAAATGTTAGACCGCCATTAGAAACCTGTAAGAATCGGATGACTATTTCGTCTTTGTATGAGACTCCTTAGCAGTGCTCATCTACCACCCTAGAAGTTGGAATCAAACCCAGGACCTTCGTCCTCACGCGAACGCTTAACTGCTTGACCAATGAGTAAACCGGTATCTGACGGCGATGAGTCTCATACTAGGATGAAACAGTCGTCTAGTGCTTCCAGGTTTCCAATGATTGTCTAAATTTGATCGATTCATGATTTCAATGCAACTGAACAATCTCTACAACCCTATAATGACAAAAAGATAATCAAGTAACAGTCTTTCTATACCATTCCAAGTGTTATTATTTCTGTCATTCGCATAACACTTCATAATTCATATTTGGAGCGTTGGGCGATCGGGTAGTTTCATTCACCTTCACATGTACACTGTTGCTCATAGCCAATCAATCACCTGATGACAGAGTTATGTATATGTTAGCTATCAATGAATAAATTTTTTTCACTTCAAATATTTCAATAAAATCATCAGTGTATTTATTAGTTGTTTGAATCAACACAGATATACATTCTGAAGAAAAAATCATGTGATTTTGTTTATTTCCTTTCTCTCTTTTTTGTTTTTGTTTTAATATTATTACTAGACTCATATTTTCCACTATCAAGAAATGTCTCCAGCACAAAAATCTCTTTTAGTTACAATTAATGAAGATTTGGAAACATTACAAACAGCTAAAGAGAATTTAGATATTGGTCCACCTACTGAACGTCATTTACTCAATGTTGGAACAGATGAAGTATGCTATTACATTTTTGATTTTTTATTTATCCCAAATATAATCTTCACATGACAATTTATCCTTTGTTTATGTCATGTTTTATTTGTATTGTCAAGATTATAAAGATTATTTATATTCTATTCTCTTATCTTATATTTATAGATACACATTATGGAAAAATAAAAGATAAATCATTTCATTAGTAGTAAATAATATTGTTATCATAAATTGATATTAGTTGGAGAATTCTTTTCACATTAAGAAGATAAAGAATCAAATAGGCGTTTTTCATTTAATTTTTTAAGTGTCATTAGTATATTGTGCATAGATTGTTGTCATTTAACTGTCACTATTCACTCAATGGTTAAAACAAAGAAGCTTGTTCAAAGTTCTCATTGTTCTCAATGATTCTATAGTTTAAATTAACTTGGACTGAATAAAATATACCTGTAATATGTAACAAAATAATCACCTACTCAAAAGTTTTCAAGCTATTATCTTTGTATTCTGTTCAGTGATATTATTTTTAACGCTTATTAACTAAATGATTCATTGGAATAAGCAGTTTTACTGATATATCATTGTCAATTTGTGTTTGAATTATCCCATTATTGACTAATGTTGAATGGAATATATAAAGTTTATGTAGACTGTTTTGATGTGGACAAATAAATGAATTTAATTCTACCAACGCTCCTTGGATAATGAAACATTCTTTGGATATTGTTAACCAATATAGAATATTTCATATTAGCTTTATTAGTCTTCATTGTCGATGAAACTTATCTTATTGATAAGTCATAAGTAATACACATTCTTCATACTTATTAATGTGACTGGAAGAGATGAGCATTTATTACATATTGATTAATAGTAATTGTTTAATCTATTTTATTCAAGAGACAATAAACACTACTGTCAACATCAGGTTACTTATGCAAATTCAAGCGGATGCAATAAATCTAAGTAGTGCGTATTTATCAAAACGGTTTGTCCTCTTAAAAAAAATCAATAATTCATTACAACAGTGCTGTTTATTTCTTTGAATTTTCGTATAATTAATATTGTAAATAAATAGAAACTATCATCTCAAACTATGACTATCAACATTGGGATACAAATACATTTAACTAACAAATTTAAAATAGAATAAAAAGGCCTGTCGTTTAATTTTTGCCTCATTGTTAACCACCAACTAATTTTAACTAATATGAAATTTTTTTTCATCATCATTTCATTTAAGGCATCTAAACGTTGGTTAAGTGAATCAATGGGTGCTAGTCAAGCAAAAGTGACTGATGAAGTTGGTGCAATGAATGCAGCTGTAGCACAAGCTTTACGTTCAGCTAATCGTGCTGAATCAACAGATCAGCATATGGCACAACATGATCAACCATTAGATCGACTACATGATCCTGGTGATGATTTAATGATGATGCAACAATCATTTCGTGTAGTCACTATACATTTTCCTGCATTTGTTGATGATTTAAAACGTGTCGCTGTATTACGACGTGAATCTGGTGCATTAAAAGCTGATCAAACTGGTCAACCAATGATTGCTGAAAAAACAGAAGAATCCACTCAGAATTTATTATCAGCCGCTCGTCATGTTGCCGATGCATTCACTGATCTTTTACAATCAGCTCGACCATTAGCTATGGGACAGGTAAATTGATAGTTATTATTTTTTTTTCTCTAGGTAATTTATTCAAATTACATTCAATGCACAGCAAAATTGATGTTCAGTTTTTAACTATTGAACTGACAGTTATTTCTAACTGTGAATCATTGAGATTTTATGCAAAGGGCACATTCAGCGCTTCTAAACAATTATTATTCTTAGCGTAAAGGACACACATGTGAAGTAGACAATGTTTGTTTTCAAGCAGTCGAGTTCTTCTAAATACAAAAACATAATGAGTTTGCTAAACTGAAGTTCACCGCATCTTATCAAATAACAGAAAAGATCAGCTCGGCAATAGGAATTCAAAAAATAAAAGTTATTGCATTTATCGTTACAGAGGAAAACGAATATTTATTAGGGAAACACTAGACAACTTGTAATCTCTTAATTGGAATTTAAATGTAAAATTCAATGCTTCTAGTTAACTTTTTTATGTCTCTATGTATTTCACTATCTCTATCTAATTGTAAACATGTTAGATTTTCTAGAAGAATAAAACTAAAAGAAAAAAACAGATTTACAGATCACAACTAATCATAGTTACATTATAATGGAATAAATTATTTCTCATGTGAATAGTAATCAATGTACTGTTTCCAACTAACAAAAAAATAATAATTGTCTCATTACTTTCGTTTGTATGATTACAATTAGACACATGAAGAAATCTATCCAACATCGGATGATGGAACATATCAAGCGAATCGTATCACAACACAACAACAAGCTGGTGGTCCAGTATCGAGTAGTTCACGTAAAGCAATAATTGAAGCAGCTAGTCGAGTTGGTGCAGCTAGTAATGATCTATTGCGTCATGTCATGCATGGTGGAGATGATGTTGATGATGATTTATTCAATACAAATTATTTAATTTTAACTGATGAAGAAAGAATTTATCAGGTTCGATTTTAATCAATAAATAAATAATTTATTTATTTGTTTAGTATGAATGACATTGTTTTTGGTTTTTATGCTTTTTTTTTAGTTTAACTTTCTCACTTGAATGATTGAACTAAGCAATTCAAACTCTATTGTTAATTAAAATAAGGCAGACTATGGAGTTCATCATTTAATTACTACAAATTAAAGCTGCCGTGTATCCAGTCAGTCAGTTACAACGTAGAACTTCGTACATAAGTTCAGGTTTCCATACCACATCAGCACCGAGATGCAATTGTCAATGCGAATCCCATAATAGTAGAGGTATTAGAAGTATTAGCAGTAATGAAGAGAATTAGGGTTCAAAAATGTGATTCGAGAAATATAATTCATTGAGATAACCTTAGAAAAAGAAAGATAGAGGCGGTGAGGAATTCAGAAGGTTAAAATTTGAGAGAACACAGAGAGTGGATGCACCTGCGCCATTGCAAACGATCTTGAGCCATATTGCTCAATGTATCTAACCATTGGTGACTTTCGTCTCATGGACCCCAATCAGGTAGCCTGCATCTACTAACATGACTCAGTCCACTTGTCGGTGACTTCATGGATTTGTGCCATGTTTTGGTTTGGCCGCCCCTAGGCCATTTATTAGTTTATAGTTCAAAATTTTAGATGAATGATTATATAATAGCTTCTTCTCATTCAATTATCTATATCATCAATGTGTTCACTTTTATTGTCGCTAATACAGTTAGGTATATTGATTACTACTTAGACTCTATTTCTATTTTGTCAAGTAATCTTACAGCATACAATGTAAACGCCTTATTCATAAATCACATTAAAGTTTTGAATGTCTCCCTATTAGAGATGAAATGCCATGAATATGATTTAAATCAATTTATAATAAACAACAATAGAAATTAAATGCATAAGACAACCAGCTTATAATATTTAAATCATACATGTTGTATGACACTATGGCGGCCGGCTGAAACTTAAAAACTAGACAACTATTTGAATCGATAATCTAATGGTATATAAATATGTATTTATAAAAATTGAACAAAGTTTTTAACTTTTAATCATTTGAATTATGAACATATTTGACCATTCAACTGAATTTTTGTAAGTTTTACAAATAGAGGAAAATTTAATTTCTCTCATCCATTATTTACTTTAATCTTATATATATATATATATATATATATATATATATATATATATATAAACTTAGAGTTAAACTAAATAGAGAAATATGTCTACTACTCACTCATAAATATCAAACCACATTTTCAATCTATGGAAAATGAAATTGAATCTCTACCTAAGTATTATGTAAGTATGTGCTTGTTAGCATCTTTCTCTCTCTCTCTCTCACTTATCGTTTAATCTTTCTGATCTTTCCTTTCACAAGAAAAAAAATTTTCCTTTTTTTTCAATTAATTGTATTGCATAAATTGATTTGGCACAGACTATAAATGAAACAAAATTATGATATTGATCAAATCTCATTAGGCAAATGTATTTATTGAATTTTACATGATTTTTAATTCTATCAACCAATAACTAATATACTTTGAATTGAATAATACCGAAAAAACTATTATGCTATACAAATTCTAACATACTATATATCTTCCCATATTTTGTCATTTTATACAGGATCAATTATTAGGATTTGCTAAAGCTGTAGCTAATGCAACTGCTGGCTTAGTTGTAAAAGCTAAAGTATTGGCTTCACAAATTACATCAGATCCTGAAGCACAACAACGTGTTATTTCCTCTGTGACACAAACTGGTTTATGCACTAGTCAGTTGGTTGCTTGTACGAAAGTAAGTTGAATTATTCCTTTTTGATTTATTGATTTGTTTTTATTGTGTTTCATTTTGATCATCAATGTCTATCAGATTGTTTGTTTTCTGGCAGAGTTTTGGAGGTTTTTTGTTTTTACACATTTGAAATCATCAATCAATCATTGTTAGACCACCATTAGGAACCTGGAAGCATTGGACGGCTTGTTTATTGTTTGAATGAATCCATTCATTCTTCTGATCGGGGTGATTCAGTTTAATCAAACTTATGAATTTGAGATTATTTATTTATTGACTATTATTGCTATATTATTTCTGATGATGGAAAGATGCCCATATATATATAATATATATATAGATAATTGATACATCCTCCTTGTATTCGTTGACTTTTACGAATCCACATTCATGCAAGGAGTTGTTACATACCAACATAATAAGAATTATTCTATTCTGCTTTCGTTGTATTTTTTTACTCAAACGGGAATCAAGCAAGCGAGCGAATTGGCGAATGAATGGATGAATGAAGCGAAGTGGAGAAGACTAGTGAGCCAACTCCAAGGGATAAAGCATGACTAAGAATTTATAGTCAGACAAAAATAAGACAGACATGTATAGTAAGCGAGTAGGCATGCACACACAAAAATGAAAGCGACGAATGAGTGAGAAGGTTAAAAGACTAGCAGAACAAGTCATGTGAGCTAGACATTGAATGATTGACTCACTACTAACATTCCTAAAGTTTAAGCATTTATCACGACGCTTGGAGTTTTGATATTATATTCTGATTAGCTTTATGGATGTTCACTCTTTTGGAGTCAAATACCTATGACTAAAAACTGATTATCAATAATTGTCCAATCAAAATCATTTCTTGAGGTTAACTGTGGAACTAAGCAGTTTTCATGAATGCTTTTCATCGAAAATTTCTTTTTGATCATTGAAATAATTTTAGAGTTAATTCTTGAACATTTCATCATTTACTGGTAGTTTACTTTTCAACTGATAACTGTATATTGTTAATAAATAATAGTTATTTTATTTATTGAACTAATTTTCGGTTAAATCTACTCTATGATACAATATAAATTCTTTTCATACTTTTATTATATTTAGGTTTTAGCCCCAACGATACATCAACCCACTTGTCAACAGCAATTAAGTGAAGCTGGTCGTGAAGTTACATGGGCTGTAGACGGTGTAGTGCAAGCATCACGTGCCGCTGCTCATGTACCATCAGAAGATCCACAAATGGTACAACAGTCAATTATTGAAACAGAGACTGCAGCCACAGAAGTTAGAGATGCATTAGATCAACTAAATGCACATTTACTCAAAGGATCATACAAGGTTTGTGTTAATTCTCTTGTTTATTCAAGATTTTATTGTGCAATTTATGTATCTGCACCTTTAGTGTTTTGTCTTAGATGATTACATCTTAAAACTTGAATGAATTATAATCTTTATGCGGTTAAATCCTCACATAAACTCAACCAAATTCGTTCTACGCATTATTTATTTCCTAAAATTAATTGAACTAAACCGATTCATGATAGTCATCAACATAACTAATTAAAAAATGCCACCCAAATGTGACTGATTCACATGTAAATGCTGCGAAGGCTAAGTTTTGAATGAAAGTAAGGCACTGATTTTAGGAGCCAAAGTGAGCATTTAAAATGAACAAACTGAAAAAATCGATTTTTCTGATTGTCAACTTTTTTGTTGGTAGAATAGGGGAAGGGGTCCGCAAGACAATGATAGAGACTTTGGATGATGTGGTCGAAAGTTGTTTCCAATGACACAGATGCTTCCTTTCTTTGTATTCCCTCTAATTACAATTTTCTGAATTTCCCATGATGTTTTTTCTCTCTGTAAATTTATTTCACTGGGTTATACTTCTCGAATCTATTCTTCCATCCCTAATGTTTTTCGTTACAACTAGTGCTAAAGCAACCTCTTTTAATCTGGCTTTTAACAAACACATTTTAAAAGGAGACTGGATTCAAATAGTCCTAAAGACAGAAAAGGAATGGTGGAAGAAGACATCAAGATAAGCGTACAAAATAATGTTTCTCTACAGTGAACAAACTACAAAAATGTTTGAGTGTGACTCAAACTACTGAATATTATTTTAAGTAGTATAATTAATGCGAATAAAAAGCTAGTGAAAGGGGCTTGAATGATATGCTTATATATAATAATAATAATAATTATAATAATAATAATCTTCCTTTCTAATAGTTAATACATACAGTAGAAACTACGTGACTGGTTAAAGATATCATTCGCGAATCAAACTTTCCACTTTATTGCTGCTCTTACTATTCCTTTCTGCAAATAATTATCGATATTGTTTAAATGACGTCAAACTTTCAAAGAAAATTTTTTTCATTTTGATAAACTTGTTCCTTTTTTACACTTTTATATTTTTTCTACAAAGAGTATCCGTGCATACACACACATTGAAGTTTCTTCTTTACTGGTGAATTTTTCCAAAATCCATGCTAATTATTATACAATTTTTCAATATACATTCAAGTTTTGTTGATTAACTTTAAAACACGTTTTGGGTAAATTGACTTGATTTTTCTGTATTTTTTTCTTGAGCTAAAGCTCTTTGAAGTTATGAAGAATATCTGTAAATAAGTTGAAACTTTCGTTATGATGTATCAAGTTGAACTGATGAACATGTGTCCCAAGTTTTCATTTAAGTATTACTGACTGGCTTAGATTTAATTTCATTCTGACTAAGAATTATTAACTTGAGCAGAAGAAATACATTTGCAAAAATAAAAAAGTTCAGTAAGATTCAGGACTTAAACAACAGATGTAATAATGAGGTTGTGATTTATGTTCTTTAAATTACAATCAATTCGAAACTCATCTACTTATTTTCTCTCATATACATGTATTATTGCATTGTGTTGATTGTACTTCCTTAGGGTTATCAGGGTGATGCTTTAAATAGCTTCCAAACTGCTTATGAAGATTTGAAACAATATTATACTACAGATGGTCAACGTATGGTTGCATCCGCACGTCGTCTTGCACAAGCTACAGCTCTTATGATTGCTGATATTAAAGCACAAGCTGAAGAGTCAGGAGATGATTCTGATAGACAGAATCGTTTATTCCATGCTGCTAAACAGCTGGCAGATGCTACTACCAATTTGATTAATGCTGCAAAGGTAAGCAAAAATCACGTTTTGTTCACCTTTAAACAAAAGACTATCTCCTTATTTTACTTGGAATGTTATGCAAGTTCGTTAACTTGATTTATAAACTACAGAATGTAGCAATACTACCTTGATTTAAGTAAAACCAATGAACAAATGATGCTTAAATGAAACGAGTAGAACATGGGATCAGTTGTCAGGAATAAGTAACAAATAATTTAACAAGTTCTGTTTTGCATTACCGCGATTAGGCAACTCAATTTTATTTTTGTTTTTTAGCTACTTATAAGTAGTTCATCTATTTTAGTGGATATTTTTATAAGGCAATGATTGGTATTAAACGTAATCGAATTGACGATAACTACGCTTAGTATCATTTCTTGATATACTAACTTTCATTGTTATTGATATTCGGCTTAACCAGCTGTCGCTTTTTACACCTTGTTACATTTATTAAACATACTAGGCTTGTTCATCCAATCCAGATAGCGTGCAACTTCAAACAGAATTACGTGATGCTGCGGATGAATTATATACTCTTGCTTATTCAGCTGGTGGTGAACAATTCCAAACACGTTTAATACATAATTTACAATCTGCTGCACGTGCTACAGTAACTGGTGCTACACAATTGGTTAATATTAGTCAAGCAGCTACAAAATATTCTCGTGGTAATAGTTATCAAGTGAGTTGAGTTGATTGAGTGATGGATGAGATTTCCATGTTAATTTTTTTTTGTACTTAAATAACTCACTAACCCCAAGTGCTTTGTTTGAAGTATAGTATATAGAAAATGATCTCTAAATAAACAGAAAATTGACTCTTTTTTAAATGACATCGCAAATAAATATGTTAATCTATCCCAGTTGGTAAGTTTTGTTTCGGTGCAACAAATGGAGGTAAGTGAAAAGATGGCAAAGAGCGAGAAAGTTAAGTTGACCATAATAACAGTGATGGTGGCGCTGTCATAAAATCGAGTCTGAGTAGTGTTAGTAAAATAACGCCAAACGATATTTGGGGAGTATGAAAAGTATGGAGTTTCGTTTAAACGAAACTAAAAATGTAAGCGATGATAAAAAATACACTAAGTATTTGTTTGCAGTTTACTCGCCCATCTAACAAATAACCATTTAGAGCAGTGTTGGTGTATGAACAATGATTACCTTTCAGTTGTCCATTATTTGTAACAGTATTTCTTCTTGAGGAAAGCACAAAAGTGACATAAGTGGTTTCATAGACTTGGAAGAATGATAACAGTTGCTGGAGAGTAAACCAATCATATGCTGTTTTCTTGTGAATATACTCCATTATTAAAGTTTCATCTCCATATTTTTTAAAGTTTATCACATATATCTGAACTCGATGGAACGTGGATGCATATGTCATCTTCTTTTTGACCTTATATAATCCACTTTCCTTTCTACTGAGAAGCTAGGATATTTTTTTGTAGAATATCCTTGGGAAATAAGTGTCTTAGTGCAACTTAGAACTGATTTAGAGTCATATGGCTGATTCTGTGATTGATTTCCGATGATATTTTTGTTGTCATTGTTTTTTCCTCTATCTACTGTCACTACTTCAAAAAGTAGTCATGCAAGTCAATATACCGTTCAAAACAACCCTTCGCAAATCAGAAAACATGCCGTTCTAATATGCATGGGAAGCACTTCAGAAATGATTTGGTGATTTTGAGGCCATTTCCAGTTAGTATCTCGATAATCAATGCATTCCATTTCATAAAGACCGAACGAAACAACAGCTTGGGAAGAGAAACGCTTTTTCTAACGTACGTCACTTATGGCGTAGGCGAGATATCCGTTTGCTAACCAAAGGACGAGTGTACGGCGCAGTAGTTCGCTCCGTCTTACTTTATGGCTGTGAAATATGGCCAGTGAGAGTAGATGATATTCCTAGGTTACCGGTTTTCGATCACAGGTGTCTCTGAAGCATTGTTCGTGTATCATGGGACAGCTGAGTAAGCAATGCTGTTGTTAGGAAACGGGTGCTAAGTAAGGATGACAGATCAATAGATGAAGTAATTGAACTTCATCAGTTGAGGTGGTTGGGACATGTGTTACGTATGCCTAACCACCAACTGCCTCGTCGAACTATAGGTTGTAAGAAAGCTAGGGGTGGCCAATCCAAAATATGGCAGAAATCCATGAAATCACTGACAAGTGGACTGAGCCATGTTGGTGGGTGTCGGCTACCTGGTTGGAGCCTATGAGATACAGCTATAGATCCAGTCTGTGAGTAAATAACCAACGTATCGCGTAGTCAGAGACCAAGTGAACAAAATAGTCAATGAGATGTGAAGGCAAATGAAAATTATTGAACCTGTGTAAATAGCCACCTACAACAAGGGATAACTTATCGAGTATACTCAAAAGACTCACATCTATTTAGGGTAGTAGGAGTTGACGATGTTGTCAACAATGACAATGAAAATTTCACAATCAATCTATATGTATTTTCAATTACCTGACCCTATGAAAACCATCCATTTGAATTACACAATGTCCATCATTTGATTTTTTTTCCAGAAAATCAAAAATGGACCCATATATACTGACTGCATACATGAACACAAACTGTATGTGTTTATGTTTACAAGCACATTTCCATCCTAATTGAATAATATATGCATAGTCGAACATCGTGTTTTTTGCACAGGTTTTTATTTTGAGAATTTATTGATTTTTTTGTTTGAAGTTAAACAATGTCAACTGTATTCAGTTTTCTGGTGAAATTCCTTCTTTTATTTTGAATTTCTGCTATGTTTTTAATTATTTCATTTTATTTTTCTTCATAATATTACATTAGTTGCATAATGATACAAGGAATGTGACTAATCTTATTCCGAAAACTGTCATTACTATTAGAGAATCACGTGCTAATCCAGGTGATCCAATGGCATTGCTTGAATTAATTAGTGCATGTGAACGTTTTGTACAAGTAAGTGATCAATTCATATTATTATTATTATTATGATAAATTGTAATTCATGTTACTTTTCCAATTTAAATATCCTGTATGTGTGTATGTATGTGCATTATAATATGTTATGAATAAAATAACTTTAAAGAAGAATTTCTTATGAAGAATAAATGAATGTTTATCAGTCAGATCTTGTTTATACATCCAATTTATCTGAGTTTCAATATTAACTTGCAAATAAATCTTCTCTTTTTCTTCATTGTAATATTTTATAAAGAGATGATTTCTTCTTGTCAAAAACTAACGACATGAACTAAACAAACATTTGAAATAATTAAACATTGATCATCAGTTATTTCATATGAATTGACAATGATTTGTCAATAGGGGTACACTTGTAACACCACCATACGAAGTGATTGAATCTTTATTTCGTCTTCTTTTCCACTTTTATATTCTATTTATATAATCCTGGTAGAATGTATTCATTACAATGAATTTAGTTGATTTTGAGCTATAATTCTTGTATGTACAGGCTAGTGAAGCTATTTGACTGCCTAGCTACTCAATTACATGTAATAAGAATCAAACCAGCTACTAATACTACTGTGGTGCGAGCTACTTATAAATAGTATATGACGTGAGTGTAAACGTAATGTCTGGCAGCAGAATATGGGGGAAGATCAAGAAAGGAAGAGTTAGAAAACAATGGAATTTGTATGAAACGCATGAACAGTGACATTGGATTGATGTTTTGCAACAGGAACAGTCCAGTTCGATATGATGAACTGATATTTTGCAAATTAACGATTTACGATATGGTTTTCCGATTTTACTGAGTAACTCTGTAATTTTCGTTAAATACAATTCGGTTGCCCCACCTGTGTTCTCGTTCACTACACTACTACTACTACTACTGCTGTATAATTGATTTATTTAACTGGTAAAATACGATTTTATCACTTCAATATAGCCATGTTTACGTGTTATCTACCTATGTATCATTTTTTTTGTAGCCATGCACAGCAATGGTACGATCTAGTAAATCATTGGCTCCGACACTCTCAGATCCATCTATTCAAGCTGCATTAGAAAATTCAAATAGTCAATTAGCTAGTGCTTTAGAAACATTAATTAATTGTTTAATAAAAGTTGCACCACTTGCCCGTCATCTTCAATTAGACGGCGCATTAACACGATTAGCTCGTTTATCTGATGAAGTGGCTGCAATGGAGACTAGTTTAATTCAAGGTACATTAGCTCCGATACCTGAACAAAAAGTAAGTCATTTTCCATTTGTGTTTTTTTATTCACATCATTATTCTGTATGTGTGTGTTTTTTTCCAAGAAGAATCCCAACCGATTCCATCTGATTTATTGATAGCCTATTCTCAATGTATTAATTCTTTAACTTAAATGAGTTTTATAATATTTTGTTTATCTGTACGTATGATTAAATTTTGTATTGCGATAATGTTTCACATTTGTTTTTAATTATTTTCTGTTTACTTTGCTTACAATGCGATCACATTGAAGATGAAAAAGTTAAAGAGTAATACGAATCTTCGGAAATATATCTATAGTAATCTATAAGTTACAATTATCTCTCATTATTTATCATTGAAATTTTGAATCATTTAACATTTAAATTAATAGTTGTAGAAATCTTTGTTTTTTTTTAATTAGAGGCATAAATATGTTTATATTTTGTTTAAAAAAAACAAAACAAGAGATATGACTGATAACAACATGTTTTGAAAGTATTCATTTGATATGATTTACCTTCTGTTGGCATTTCCTATTTTTTTTCTGTTTTTTATTACTTAAATCAGGTTGAAGATTGTTGTCATATATTAAATATCAGTGTTCATGATGGCATAGAATCAGCGAAAAAAATAGATTACATCATAAATTCCATGGCTAAAATGGATGTAACTGTATTAGATCAACCGGAATTAGCTGGTCAATCAGCTGATCATTTAGCATCAGCTATGACGGAACTTGTACATGCAACTCGAGGCATAATCACTGATCAAAATAATCTTTTAATGAATGGTAACATTAATAACAATGGTAATACATCAGCAATGGAATCAACACGTCGAGCTGTGATTCAAGATATTCGACAAGCTGTCCAATTATCTTATGAATTAGTAAGAGCATTAAAAGATACACGAATAGCATGTGATGCTAAACAACCAGCTAATGCAGCCACTGTACAAAGTCATAGTCAACAATTAACAACACAATTAATTGAAACCTTGACACGTTGTTTACGTGGTCTACCTGGACATAGAGAAATTACTGAAGCTATTCATTTAATTGAACAAAAGCGTTCTCAACTCATTCAATATACACAACCGAATCAAATGAATTTAAAACCACGTTTTGTTGAATCCAATGAATATCAACGTAAACAAACTGATTTAACTCAAGCAGCTGTAGAATTTAATCAAGTAAGTTGAATTATAAATATTTTTTTTTATAATTCATAAAAACAAACTGTATGAATTAAATTAGCAACCCCCCCCCAAAAAAAAATGCCATCCTCAATTTTCACTACATTGATGAATCAATGCGAAAGGACCTTTGCATACAATACAATAGACTGAAACTAACAAGTAATGTTTCTTTTTCTTCCGATAGAATAAAAATCTAAACATAAAGAATATAGTTTAAAAGCTAATAAAATCAATTCGTAGAATCAGAGCAAAAAACGAATGAAAAGGAGGTCTCAAAACTAGTGAATGGATGTATATGGTAGAGTTCCTTGTTGTCTCAGTTGAATTCAAATAGTTTTCTATAGAATAAATATCTCTTGTAATAGCTATAATTAAGTTTATATTAAATAACTTAGTGAAATTTTAAACATGAGAAATGCAGTTCATTGACACTAACCCCATTAGATGTTGTCAATTCTAATTTTAATTAATGTTGTTTGAGTCTTTTTAATGTCAAACACTGATGTATCTAGGTGTACAAATTGTACAAACAACTTGCTTGTAGGTTCATAACAATTGAATTCTACCAAATTAAGGTGGAGAATTGTTATATTCGGTTGCTTAGTTACTTCATTAGTTCATAAATTAAAATATTCAATCTAATATTTTGATTTGTCTTATTCACCTACTACTACTTATGTAAAAAAGCTTGTATTTTGTAGAAATTATTCTTTGATAAATTTTTTTTCTCATTAAAAACATATTCTCATGCTGAATGAATTTCTCATCATATCATGATAGAAAATACATATGTTTCAGTGATGTGGGTTAATTAAAAAAAAAGCAAATCAAAGTTGTTGTTTTTTTTTTAAATTTTATTATGATTAATTAATTAATTAACTAAATAAATTTCACTAATTAACCTTAATAATCAAGAGATCAAGCTAACGCCTACAAGTTCATTAACTTACAACCGAAATGGTTATTTGGTAGATTTCACACAAACTTAATCATACTGCACGGAATAAATCAGTATCTGCACCGATCTTGATGAATGTTGAATAATATGTTTTCATTCTTCACCAATTTGTCTAGTAAATGTAGAAATTTATTAGATTGTCCATGTGAAAGTTGAAAGATATTAAGCCCGAAAGAATAACATTCCATAGATCGCAAGGTCCTAGGTTCTATTCCCAAATGCGAGGTCATGTTTAAAAGTCATGCTTCTAGGTTTTCATTAATGATCTAGCTAAGATCAGTCTATGATTTAAGTGGTAGCGGAAAGTAAACAAGATTATTTTTGTCTTTTAAATATACACAGAATATTTTTCAAATACTTGACATGATTGTTGCAATTCAAATTCAATATAAATGCTGTTTCGAATACCCTTCTTCTACATTTATTAATCCTTACATTGTGAACTTTTCACAATTATTCATATATCGCTGACTTACTTGTTTCTACTTACTAAATTCATCATATTATATTATATAAAATTTTAGCATACATTTAATTGCAAACTATTCAATGTTTATATATTCTTTGATATATCTGATGAGGTTCAGATGAGTTTGAAACATTTAAATTTCAGTCAATGAGATTATTTCAAATAATGTCCTCTCTATATACTTGTAATCTAATTTTTGTCCAAAAATTTATATAAATTGATTGAGTTTTATATTAAAGCCATAACTAATATGAAATACCTGCTGACAAGTTGAGTTATTTATTTTCTAACTTCAGATTTCTTTATTCTCAGTCAAATTTTGATTTCTGTAAATCTGTTAGTTTGATCATTGAACGGTAAATATATGTGTTGTGTGCATTAACATGACAGTTAATTATATTGTATATGAAAGAATACTTTGCACAATAATTAGTCAGAAAAAGGGAATGGGATCGCTTTGTTGATCAGTCTACAAAACTGATGTATGGATTGTCAAGCTTAATTTTTCTCATTGAAATCATGAACTGATCAGTGTTAGACTCCCATTGAAAATCTAGATGCACTGGACAGCCTTCATATCATAGTATGGGACTCCTCAGCAGTGCACATACACGGAAATCGGACCTAGGATTTTTGATGCTGATTTCTGACTTCGATCAATCCATGATAGTGCGCCACCATTATCCTTTTTGTACGGTTGGTAACACTGTTGATGCCAACTCAGTGGTTTAGAGGTTAACCATTCGCACACGAGTTTGAAAGTCCGGCGTCTGATTCTTGTGCGTGGGGTCGTGTATACGCACTGCTGCGAAGTCTCGTACTTGAACGAAACGGCCGTTTACTACCTCCAGGTCTTTAATGGTAATCTAACATTGATTGGTCCATGATTTTAATGAAAGTCAACAATCTTTACAATCCTGAGCTGTTAGTTTTTTGTCTATAAATTTTAATATTACTTTTAAGCGCAGAGAAAATCATATAAATTTGTCTAAAATGATAAAACGCTGAGTTTCCTTTCATATTTTTAGTTCATATCCTGTGTATTATTATTTATTTTAGGCTACCGGTGATTTACTCTCTTCATATTCACCTGGAGCATTTAAACGAACAACACGTCGTTTTACTGGAGCCTATGATTGTTTAACTGATAAAGGCATTGAATTATCTGTATGCAGTGAAATGTCAAATAATCAACAATCTGAACCAGTTGTCAATACTGATCTAATAAATGGACTCATTAATGTTTCAGATCAAAGTTATGCTTTAATGAATGAGGCTAGTCGAGTTTGTGGTCAAAATGAAACAGAAAATTTAAGAGGGAAATTCCAATCAGCCGCTAGGTAATTACTAGTTTGCTTAACTGTTGTTATGATAGTGTCCATTATTGAAATACCTAACAAAAAAGTATACAAACCGTAGACAATCTGTCAACTCAAACACTACACTAGTTGAAGCAGAGATTATTTCAAACTATTATCGGATTTGATAATTTTGAATGGTATTCATCAAAGTTGTCTACTTTCTACACTTTTAGTTAATTTTATCAAAGATATTCTGTTGGGGATGTTAGATCCCCGAAATTCGCTTGATAAATGCCTTATTTTGGATTTCACGTTTGCGAGTATGGGCTGATCAGTTGACCCTGAATTTTCATTTCTCACCAGGAAAATCCATGGCTGTGATTGGCTGCTGTGTATTTTAGTGTGCTATTTTCTTAACTGTCCCAAGGACGTTTCTATGATGTATAAATAAACGAGAGTTGTGCGCTTGATTGCATTGTGCTTGCTGGTTGTTTGTAGAATATACTTCCTACGCTTACAAAGCCTTCTATCTTCAGCTTGGCATTCAAGGTAGCCTATCTGGACGCTGATAATTGTCTCGTTCGCGTTTATCGACTAAGGTGAACTCGTAATAGCTTCAAGAGTACCTAGTGACGAACCCTACATATTCCTTCAAAGATAACATTTTTCATTTTCTGATTTATCAAAAATTGATCTACCAGTAGATTCTCTTGTTGAGTTAATCTAAGCAAATGACATAGCTGTCTGTTTGAGATTGAAGAATAAAGCAATCTACTGTACCTTTTTAGCAACTATACAGTTTTTTCACTCCAAACGTGCAATTTTTTAAAGACTGGTCTGTATCAGCACTTTGCTATAGCAAGTCAATTAGTTGGGTGCGTCGACTACTTCACTTATCCTGCGAATTCCACCACCCCTAGTGTGTTATTGTCCAACTAAATGTCACCACAGATATAGAGCTCGATTTTCTTTTTCTAACTAGCTTTACTTGCAGAGTAGGTGAGATATCCATCTAGCGATTGGAGGTCCAGTTTACTGCTTTGCAATTCGTTCCGTTCTACTTCATGGGTATGAAACGTAACCTTTAAAAAAGGATGCATGTTAGGTTTCTAGCATTCGATTACAGATTTTTTCGAACCATCGCTCGTACATTTTAGACCCATCGAGTCAGTAATTTTGATGTTAGATACAGAGTACTTAGTAATTATGACAAAGCAATTGACGATTTTAGGAGATCATTATTTACTGAGATCGTCGGGTGGTGGTGGGTGGTTTAGTAGTACGTTGAAAAGAGCTAGGGTTTTTGTAGTTCATTTCAACGAATGATAAAAGAGCAGTGGACATAAACCCTCCGCCTCATTCCGTATATTACAACTAGACTAACCCCTTTTTAGCCACGGCAGTTATAAGAAGATAAATACAAATTAAGTTGGATGTATTTATTTTATGCTCTCAATTGCGTAAACAGACATTAGGGTAAGAAGCGGGAAAGATAAGTGAAGTGGAGCCGGTGAGTGTACCAACTACATTCGATAAGGTCTAACTATTTATAGACCGACAGAAATAAACTAAAGACGTGATTAATAGAGTAAGTGTTGCACACACACACACATACGCTCAAATAAACACATTCAAGGTTATAAGTAAATAATTGAAGTCAAAACATGTATCAATACCGTCTCGAGAAGACTAGATTAGTTGGTTAGTTAGAGATGTTGAACGACATGGCTCGGAACCCTTCTTAGTGATTCAGATGTATTTTAATCTTTATCTTCTTCTAAATATTAAATTGTTTTAGTCCTTCATACATACTTTTTGTAATCTATCTTATTGAACTATATTTTCATTCATTAGTCTCTGTCATTATTATTATTATTATTATTATTATTACATTATTTCTACTCTCTTACTGGTCATCTTTTAATATTAATTAGCTGTTCTAATGTAGTACTATTGGATAGACTCTACATTTTCTATGTCTAACTTTATACACAATACTCATCTTTCTATCAGTAGTTAATATAACTCACCCTACATCAAATGGTTATATATTTAAAAATGCTCAGTTAGTAGTAATTGAGTTAAATCATGATTAATTTCAATCAGTATCATTAATTATTCTATAGTAACCAATGTAATTCATTTGCATACATTTTATAGCCTCAAGATATAATCAACCTTTCACGTTGATGGGTAAAAGATATGTAATATTTGTTCTAGCCAAGTTATTTACGGATAGTGTTTTACGAATTTTTTTAGCAATGCTTAAGTTCGTTAATATATGTGTTTACACTCAAAAATGATAACTCCATTGGTTTTACGGTCTTCAGTTATCGGCTTCAGTATTTTAAATATGGATTATGAATGTCGTGGCTTTAAAAGTGACAACGATCTACTGCGAAATAAGTAACGCAGCTAACTGTCTGAACCGTATTACCGTCATTATTTACTAGAGGTCATCATTTCTCTAGATCGTATCAAGTTTTTTGTGTTCTTATCGTTTAATGAAAATTCATTATAATAATAATGATTTTTTTAATTAAGTTTTTTTCAATTGTTCCAAATTATTTTTCTTCCTTTTAAAAAATAATATAGAGATGTTACAGAAAGTATAAGTCATTTATTGACAATTTGTACTTCAGGTGTTAGTCCTGATCAACGAGAATGTGAAGCAGCAATTCGACGCCTGGATTCACTTCGTCCATTATTATTAAATCCAAATAGGCCATTAAATCAGCATAGTTATTATGATTGTGTGGATACTGTAGCTAAAAGTCTTGAGGTAACTAAATAAACACCAACCATTGGTTTTTCTTTTAATTAATATGTATATATTTACAACATTGTATTTTTGTTTGTATTAAAGTCTTATAACCATTTGGGTAAGAATTATAAGTTCCCCATAAGTACATATCTGTTTAAGATTTCTTGCAGAATTTTAAGAATAGGAGTTTACTACTATCCGTATGAGTTAACAGCTCATCTTTTGTCAGTCAACATCTACTACTTGTAAGTAGTATAAAGTAAAGCTTTCGAAAAAAGTAACTTGCATCATTACTGATTTGTACGATGAATATAATTCGCTTCCTAAACATTATTGAATCTGTCTATTGTTTGATTACTCTACAATCAACCTACATAATCCCACGTTGCATATTTATTTGTGTTAATATTTTAGCCAAAGATACAGCCTCATTCATTTTTATCATTTTGTGTTTTTAAAAAAATATTCGGCTACATTATAGATTGTTTCATTAATTGGTCTATTATTTTGTACATGAAATATCTATTTATCTATAAGATAGCCATTAATTGAATGAATTTCACTTATTCCTCGATGCATATCATCACTCCTACCTAATCAATAATTTATTGTAGTTTAATTTATGAAAACTATTCATTACTCTTTTATTTTCAACAGTTTTCATAAAAGTTGATGTGAATCCCTAACAAAATATTACAATCGATCAATTGTTAATCATTTTATATTACTTTTTTTTGTTTTTCCTCTAACTTTTTTTATTAAGCCATTGGCAGAAAGTTTAAGATCCATGTCTACATCAGCTCGTGATCAAAATCCTAATGAATTTAGTTCTGCTGTACGTCAATGCTCTGATTCTGTTTGTCAATTAGTTGAAGAAACTGCTCAGGTATATTCATTTGCATTTGTTTATATCAGTAATAATAATAATAATAATAATTTAACAGTGACTTCATGTAATTTAATTATTTACATAGAACCAAATATACAGTGGATATGCCATTACTGTTAGTTATTTAATCTATACAACTTATCGGCACAAATCAAATTATATTTTCTAAATAGGATCTATTTTTGAATAATTGTCAAATTCATCAACTTTTGACCTCATACTAAGTTAATTGGAATAAATTAAATGACAAAATAATTGTTTATAAGAAAAATTATTGAAAAAATATATATTGTGTAATATTTACTTTATGCCCATAGATTTACAGTTTGCATATCACTGTTCATATAATTTTCACTATAGAGTTGTGAAGATTGTTAAGTTTCATTGAAATCATGACACGATCATTGTTAGACCATCATTAGGAACCCTGGGAAGCACTAGACTTTCGGTCTGGCGCACGAACGTTTAACCTGTAGACCACTGGGCTGGCGTCTAACGATATTAATGTGTAACTTTGATCAATCCAAGGTACTACGCAACCTTATCCATTGTCTTTGGTAGGTAGCCACCCACTCTTCACAGGGTTGAACTTACTAGAACTCCAGGAATTTCCTAACGACACCAGTCACTAGAGTGAACAAACACAATGATCGACTGATGCTTTCAGTGAAATTCATGTAATATTTTTCATTAGACGAAATAACTATCGAAATTCTCTTTTTCCACAAATGTATAATATTTATTTGATGTGTTTAGAATTATGCAAAAAATAATCATAATTATCTGAGATACTCATCATTCAACTGACATAATAAATTTTATTATTTCATAAAGATGATGATATGATTATTTTTTTTCATTTTAATAAGTCAAAATTATTCTTCTATTTTTATTCTTACTGAATTAAACTATTATATTATTGATAACACTTATAATCAATTCATTTCATGCACACACACACACACACACAAGCAATTAATCAACTTTTTTTTGTGCTAAACTATTTAGACTGAAACTTATTCACCTGATTTCCCCTGTGCTAAATAAACTTGATGACCTTGATTATTGGATAGTTGACAGTTTAATTTTTTTTTCTTCATCAGTTAAGTGAGGATGTATGTATGTATGTATATGATAGCCACTTTATGAAATAAGTAGCTCTTTAATTTTAGTTCATTGGTATTTTATATTTTCCTCGTCAGGTCATTTCTATCTTCTTATAATTTTTTTTAAAAACCTACTGCGCAAACTTCTAATTTCGTTTATATGATTATTTATTATGTCGACTTCTGACCTTTCTTCTTTCATACTGCTATGATTAATGTTATAAGTAGTCAACAGAATGACTCATGTTTGTATGTTTTTTTCTGAAGTAGGCTGGGCACAATTAAACAACATAGTAAAGCTAACTAAATACTGATATCATTATTGTAGCCTGTATAATCTATTGTATTTCTTTTCTCAACTGTAACAAGTCGTCTGCTTTCTCATATCATATCCTGACGATGTGCAACCTGCGAATGGAAATCATATCTCTTCATAATGATGTTTGCCTTGTGTAACGTGATCGCTTCCGAATATTCGATGGTATAATGTTTATTTGAATATTATACTTTAAAACAATCTTTTACTACCTCAAATGAAACTGGTTCCTTCAATCACTACTACTGTCAATACAGTTTCTATTGGGAACAACACGTGGTTGTGTCATTCATGATGAAGGCATTAATCAGTAATGTACAAACATTATGGCGCATCATTAAATGCGATTGACATGATACACAACAAATTCACTTAACATTGGTATAATTTTTTTGTCATTTGAAATCAACAAACAACTCGTAATTATGACCAACAATTTTACTGCATTATCGATCTGTTTAAATCAATCTGTCCTAAGGTTACATCATTCATAAATTAAAAACGTTTCACGTTATCACTACCGACAACTGAACTGACTGATAGTAAGTAACATTTTCAACGTGTCTCAGTGAGCAAGCAGATTAGGTTACTTTTACATGAGCTAAATATATTCTAATCGAATTTATTTAAGTGAATGTAATCACATTAGGATGATAAGTAGATTATTTGTTTAAAATATACTAGATAAAGAGCAGGCAGACTCATTAATGTAAATCATTTGTACAAAAACAACTATCGATCCACTTCATTACTTAGTAATTAGCTCAGATAGAGGACATATTGAAAAAAAAGGATTAGTAGTCATTTATGTATAATAAGTAGTCACTCACAAAAATAGCAGTATAACAAAAGAAGTTGAGGTTCATTAACTTTTTTTTCCCAAATAGAAATAAGTAAATTAAAAAAATAGGTCATAAGTCGATGATAATTATCTATAGGGGCGTATACAACATACCGTAATTTTTCATTTTATAATGTGAGAAAGTACAAACAATGAGACTAAATAATTTAGGTATCTAATTTATTATCATATTTTTTATTGTCTCATTGAATAAAGAATGATAATAATAATAATAATAGAACTTGATAGAATTTCTTTCAACATAACAATAAATCACAATGTATAATTTAAATTAACTTGTCTGTACACATTAATGGTAAGGGGATTTTCATTATGTACAATATTTTATATTTTATTAAAGTAGTAATGTCTTAATTGCGTATATATATATATATATATATATATATATATATATATATATATATATATATATAACTCTTATTTGGATTTGAACAAAATCAATAGCCTTCATATATACACAAATGTAAATCTGAAAGCCTGGTATACATGACAAATGAGTTGCATTTTTTTTTAAATCCAAATGTGTAAAATAGTACTAGCACAGTTTTCTTTCTTTTCTTGGTTAAGATAAAACTCATTGTTGACTGTTGTATATATGTAGATGTCAATATGTCAATATGTTGCTCTAATATACACATCTAATAGTTTACTTTCTAAATAATCTACTCACAAAGTATTTTTAGGGAAAGTTCGATTACATGAAGTAAAACTCAATTGAATTTTAGAATAAATATGTGCAGATGGCTAATGTAAATGTGTTACGTAATACGCTAAAAAGCTTTGATAAATTGATCATTGAATCCAAAAGTAATATGTCAAAAATAACTGTTATCTCTGTAAATAATCATCAATAAATATCCATAGAGAAATTTTCAATGCTAATCTTGTTGACCGAGTGTTAACCCATAATATTAGTAGACAGATAGATGTTCAACTCTTCTTTTTTTTAAATAGTCTCAGTGGTTATCAAATTGACTTAATGTGTACAGTTGAATTTTGAATTTTGTATATTATGGTGGTTTCACCATTTAATGAACACTATTCTACTTATTATTGACTTTGAATCATAATTCGCCTGGTATCGATCTGTTATTAAGCTATTCTCATTTTTACTATTATTATTATTTACAGCTGTTTGTGTGTTTTGTTTTAATCGAAGTTTTTATTTTATTTTTCTGATATTATTAATCATTTCTAGACTGCCTATTTGATTGGATTAGCTGATGGATATGATAATCGTAGAGTAAGTGGAGCTACTAGTATCAGTAGTGGCATTAGTAGTAGTCCACTTGGTGCAAGTTCATTGATAGATTTAGATTTATTTATACAAAGTCAAAAAGAAATACAATCTGCTTGTGATGCAATATGTGAACCGAATGTGAATAATCGTCAAGTAAGATTTATTTCATTAAAATTAATACTCGATTAAAATATTTATTTGTCATGAATTTTATGAGGGAGGTGGATAGGATTTTTTTTCTTGATAATATAATATGTAGTTTATTTTGAAGAGAATCTTTTTTTCCCGCATAACAAAATGACATCAACTGGTAAACAGTTGCAAGCGAACGAATCTTAAACGGCTACTTCGTTTCAATTTGATACTCTTTAACACTGTGTCTGCATGATCCCCTTACCCACTAAGTAATACACCTAACATACTTAAATATTTCTATGAGTGTGATAATCAGACCAATGCTTCAGTTGTTCAAACATTGTGCTTTCAATCACCGAATTGCAAGTTAGAATTACTCTCGACGCGTTTTTGTTTCAACGATCAAGTAATATGAAACTTAAGTATATCAATGTTTGCTTGATCTACTACATTGGATCAAGAGGGTAAAATAGCAATGTTTTAAACTCTATACTTTCTTTATCATCATACACTGTTCTTCATTACAAATATATCTAAGAGATAGTTTAAATTATTTGATTTTCAATCACTTGTTTGTATGTTCAAAAATCCTTCCACCTATTTCGATTTGGAAAGTTCCAGTGAAAGATCGTTAACCTTGACACTGATACATTAGTAGAATATCATGTACTTAATTCAAAGAATTACATTGACGCTAAGGTTATAATGTATGAAATGATTTCTTTTGTCTAACTGATTATTTAATCTATGTTCCAGTCAGAGTAGAGCATATTCGTAGGTTGCTGGTTTTCGATCATAGGTGTCTTCGAAGCATTGCTCGTATATCCTGAGGCTATTGAGTAAGCAATCCAGCTGCTGGCAAACGGGTGCTAGGTAAGGGTGGCAGATCAATGAATGAAGTATTGAAACTTCATCAGTTGAGGTGGTTGGGACATGTGTTACGTATGGCTAACCACCGACTGCCTCGACGAGATATGTTTTGTGATGTAGGAATAGATTAGACGAAAGCTTAGGGGCGGCCAGACCAAAACATGGCAGAAATCCATGAAGTCACTGACAAGTGGACTGAGTCATGTTGGTAGATGTCGACTATCTGGTTGAGGTCCGCGAGATTATAGTGTTCGATGGTTAGAGATCTTGGGTGACATGGCTCAAAACCGTTTGTGACGGCGCAGGTGCATTCATTCTTTGTGTTTTCCTCATCATCTCTATCTCTCTCTTTCTAAACTTATCTCACTGAATTATACTTCTTGAATAATATCCTCAAACCCTAATCTCTCCAATTACTGCTAATACTTTTACTACCTCTACTACTATGGGATTTGAATTGACAATTGCGTATCTGTGCTAATATGGTATGGCAACTTGAACTGATGTACCTACGTACGTACGAAATTCCACGTTGCTGTTAATTGATTGATTGACTATTTTCCTTTACTCCATTTTTGTTTGTATTATTTAAATAAGTTTTCTTTTATAATTTAGGTTATTTCTTTATCAACTGAAATGGCACGTAGTGCTAAAACTCTCTGTGAAGCATGTAGTCAATTGGCTAGTCAAACACCTGATATAGATACTCGACAACATTTAAATAATTTAACAAAACAAACTATGCAATCAATTACATCACTTATTCAACATCGTGGCAGTACTGTGTCTACAGATGTAAACAGTGAATGGTCTGAATCGAATCGTCAACAAACATTGATCAATGCTCAAGCTGTCAGTGCAAATGTTGCAAATTTAATGAAATTAATTACAACTGAACCACGATTAGTTGGTTTAACAACGTCACAAGATCGAATTAGAAATATAACTAAAGAAGTAATTTTTTTAATTTTAATATTATATAAATTGAATAATGCTATTTGTTCATTTCTATTGGTTGTGCTTGAATCCTTCCATTAATCAGTCTCTTTGGTATATATGTGAATCTTGAGTGGATTGCTTCGATATTGCTTTCTGGTTACAAGTATTAGTAGCAGCTAGCTGACGAGTCCAAAGAATAGAATGAAACATGTGCCGTTTATTCCACTATCTTATACTGTCAATAATTGTATTCCTATTTTATATAAATAAATATTCTAATGGCTTCTAAGAATTAAATCCAATGAGAATTATCAGATTTTTGTTTACATCTTCCAGCATGTGATGTCTTCCAATGAAATACATTAATTACCCCACTTCTTAGTTGTTTTTCTTACAGAGAAAAAAAAACAAAACCTTTATACATGTTATCAAGAGGAACTTCATATTAGTTAGCATCTAATTACAATTTCTAAATGATTTTGGACTGATCTTGTACCCTCGTCAAATTTTATTCAGGAAAATGATATGCTCGTCAATTGATATCCTTGGAACTATTACGATTTCACCTTAGTCAGTAAACGAGAGCGAACATAAATGATCCAGTGACACGATAGGCCCTGTTAACGATATCAAAAGTCTTGATATGGCGTAGAAAGTGTATTCTACAAGCACCCAGAAAATATGAGGTTCACTAGCACACAAATCGAGCTTATTTATGCATCATAAAAACGTCTTTGGGAGAGCCACAAAAATAACGTACTAAATTAACACATCAACCAAACACAGCTAGGGATTTTCCTGGAGGGAAATGTAATCTCAAGGTCAGCTGATCGGCCCATAAATAAAATCCAGAATTAGAACCTTTATCAAGTGAGTTCTAGGGATCTAACTTCCCCAACAGAAAAAAAACGGGATAATCAGCAGATACTGGCGTATATTATCACAGTTCCCTTTAACTGTCTGTAAATCTAAGAAGGAACCTTACATAGAAGCCTGTCTGTTACTAAAATGTACCAAAAAACAATTCAACATATATCTATGGTTTCTTGTCAGTTATGACATAATCACTCATAAATTATGTAACTACCTTTTTATAATTTCAAATATGTATTTCGAGTTAGTTGCAGAATCGAACATGCACAATAGCTTGGATATTTATTCAACTCTATGAAAATATTTATATTAAAATATCTATATTCAAAAATAAAAGATTTAATAATATTAGAGTGTATATAGTAGATAAAGAATAACTATGTATGAAGCAATAAAATACTGAAAATAGAGTAGTGGATGTATTTGTTACAATTTTTTTTGGAATTTGAAGTCAAAGGCAATTTGAATTTTTTTTAACGATCAATACTTATCAACTTCTAACCAGATAACCTACATTTCCCTCTATGACTGTCGATCGTAATTCTTAACTTTTTACTTTACTGTTAAGATGACTATATTATTTTTGTATATGAAACTGGAGGAAGTGGGAGTGACTCATCCAGACTGTCAACTCAACCAACCATAAGGAATTGTTTAAAGTTGGAAATGTGAATGATTAAATGCTAAACTAGCGATCTATAAACATATTCGTCACTGCGAGACCTAGAAATCCTATGTACGCTTTATGGAAAGATCATAAATGCTTGGCAGCAAAGGAGTCATTTAGCTGTTCATTGTTTCTTGGTTTACAATAATTTTCCGATTGAAATTAATTTGTTATGTCAATTATTTTGATATGATAATAGTTTTTAGCTTCTTGTAATTTTTATTAATTGTTTCACTGTTTCATTAATGTTTTTTTTGCTTTTTATTTCCTGAATAATTATTTTGTTGACTCATTTTTATTTTTATTTTTTTTTTACTATTAATTAACAGACTCAACGTCCAGTATGTGTTGCTGGTCTAGAAAGTTTGAATGCAACACAAACTGTGTTAAGAGCTGCTCAAAATTTACTGACAGCTTCTAGAATGGGACCATCAGAAAATGCTTTTATGGCTTTTTCATCAGCTAGTAAAGATTTATCTAATAGTATTAAAGTATTAGCTAATGCTATGCGGTAAGTTTTAGTAGTAGTAGTAGTTAGTTAGTTTGATGACATTTAATGAATATGTGTTTAGCATTTGTATACTTTGATTGTTAATTTGTAACTAATGCACAAATGAACTGGGAATATTTATTTTCAATTTTATAGTTAATTATATAGTTACATAATTTTAGTTCATAATAATATCAATTCGGCTATGTTTCTGCTTTTTCAAATGACTTACCATTTCCAAAAAAAGTTATAAGGTTTTTTGGTATTTAAATTACATTGATTTGTTTATTCAATCAATTGTTACCATCGCATTTCTACAAGTGGTCAGTCGTGATCCCAATAGCTCTGTGATAACCTGTGTATGATACAGTTATAATTTCACAGGGCGTATCAATCCCCTTTGTTTCAGACAAGTACCAATCAGTATGAAACCTAGCCTTGATGTTTCCTGTGGATTATGTTGAGCTATCTAACTTATCATTCGGTTTAGGTAATGGTGATCGATAACACTAGTTATATAGTTTTCATTGTATAACAAGTGTTTTTTAGTATTGCATAATTGGCTCATGTGTTTCTTTAATCTATTAAAATTTTGCATAAACTAGATAAACTCAGTCATATTTATGAAATTAAAGATGTAATGATTAGGGTTAGAATGATTAAATTTATGTGACTTTTATAAAATGCCTAGGTTATATAGGATATGAAGTTTTCTTATAAAATATGAAGCGTTTTTTTCACTCACTCTCTCTCTCTCTCGTTTTACAGTGAAAATGCACCTGGTCAACGTGAATGTCAACATGTGTTTAATAATATTAAAAAATTACTACATGAATTACAAGATGCTCGTATTGCTAGTATGGAAAATCGTTTACCGCCAAGACGTGAATTAAATGAAGAAGGTTTTCAACGAGTAAGTAAATGATAATCAATAATAATTTATACCTTTTCATTTTGGACTAAAGTAATAAAGTGTAAATATATAATATATTCCGATTAATTTTATGATCATCATATCATACTGATTTAAATGTTTTCTCTAATTGTGCTTTCATTAATTCACGAATCATTCAATGTCAAGTGAATGAAGTAAATGGGCAACTTTATTCTTTCAACGTCTATAGTCTTTGAATTCCTACTCTGTGAACTTGACATGTGCTGCGTATTCCTAACCACCGACTGCCTCGTCGAGCTTTGTTTTGTAGTGTAGGAATAGGTTGGAAGAAAGTTGGGGGCAGCCAAACCAAAACATGGCAGAAATCCATGAAATCATTGACGAGTGGACTGAGTCATGTCGGTAGTTGTCGACTACCTGGTTGGGGTCCGCGAGATGATAATAATCGATGGTTAGATACCCCGAATGACATGGCTCAAAACCGTTTGCAATGGCGCCGGTGCACTTATTCTTTGTGTTCTCTCAAATCCTAATCTTCTGGATTATTCAACCCCCCTAGTTTTGTCTTTCTAACCTTGTCTCACTGAATCATACTTCTTGAATATCTTCTCATCCTAACCTCTCCGATTACTTCTAATACCTTTACTACCTCTTCTACTATTGGATTTGAATTGACAATTATATCTCTGTGCTAATGTGGTATGGCAACATGAGCTGATGTACTTACGTACGAAGTTCTACGTTGCATCTGACTGACTGACTGTCTGAACTTGACATATTTCAACTTCATTGATTGATATTGTCAATTTTATCAATCAACTAGTCCCTGACATATACAACAGCATGATCTTTATCTAATGTCATTTATAAGTGATTATCTTATTTGTAGAATAGCTGTTCAGTGTATTTTTTTTTGTTCTGTACTTTCAGTTCTCGATATGACTCATCAATGAATATAACGATTGCTCATGTTAAATATACAAACATTGATTAAGTGTTTTATTTATTTTAGAGTGATTTTTCAAATAGTTGTGTTGTTAACATAAATTTATTCTATCAATATCAATCTGTATTCTTCTCTCGTAATAAGAGATAATCAATCCAATAGTTGATTACGATTAACTTTACATAATCTGTGCGCACATAATGAATATGTTACTATTTGGTACTATTTTATGGTTAAGTAACTCAATATGTGGAGTGAAATTGGTGACAACCACTGATGATTGACTTAGTGATGATGAATTAGGTACGAAAACTTCGGATTCTTTGAAATAAAATATGAAAAAATTCTTGAGATTGTACACATTGATCCCTGCTGTGATCAATATCAACTAGTCAGGAAAATGATTTTCTCTTCCGATCAATACTATCCAGGCACTTAGTAGACTAAAGTCTCATTTTCAGTTAATTTTCCATTCACCAATCTAATCAATAAGAAACTATTTCTCTTTTATTTTTTTTTTCGAAAGAAATTAAACATTTTCCAAAGTCAACTAATATCATCAATCATATCAAATAAACATAATTTTTATTAGGTTATAATTAATTATCTGTACATAAATATATTTAAATCAAATCAAATGTTCCTTTGTAATTAAACAAAAATGATAGAATTGTTTTTCATACTTTAATTATTATGCAAAAAAAAACATGTGTGAAGAATTAGTTTATAACATTTTATATTGTAAAATAAAAAGTATTTCAGTAACTTGTTTGTTTTATAGGTAACATTTTTTGAAAAAAAATTTATTTTGATTTTCAACTCAATGAGTTTCATTGAAGTCATGAATCAATCTATGTTAGACCACTATTATATAGACCTTCAAGCACTGGACGGCCATTTCGTCTTAGTATTAAGACTCATTAGCAATGCCCATTCACGACCCCCGCGTACGGGAGTCGAATTCAGGACCTTTGGTTCCATGCACAAACGCGCTTAACCTCTAGATCACTGACCAGGCATCCAACAATGCTAATGTCTAACTTCAACCAATTCACGATATTGCGTGACCTCACCCATTTTCTTCGGTTGGTAAATGCCTCACATCCGACAGGGTTGAATTCCACTAGTCACTGCTTCTCACTAGAACTCCGAGAAGTTTTCTCACGAAGCTAGTCGTTTAATTATATAAAAAATTTTACTAAAAATACTTGCTTATTTTATAACAGCATTACTCTAATCAATCTAAATATCAATATGTAACAAGAGTCAGTTGATCAGTAATTCAATCTGTCAACACTAACACTAACGAATTATAGCCATATGAAGAAGGCAATCATTTTGACCAGAACAATAGATTTATTTTTCAATGAAATCTTACTTTATTGTTACTTTTCTGTCAACTTTTTCTAGTCAGCTGTTAGTTTTATAATTTTAAGTGATCTTTTAGATTTTTTGTGTTCCAAAATACTCCACTGTCACGTTTACTTTGTGCAAATGTTTTAGAAATATTTAGTGCATATGTGCGCACTACACAACCATTTTCTTTCTACGTCTTGTTCTTTGTACCATCCGTCAAGATGATTTTAAGGTTTTATTTTTCTCCTATGTATATTACTAACAATTAGGAGTTTATCAAACCCATGGTTATATGTAAAAAATAATTATTCCTAATCATTCTTTCTAATTAATGAAATAGAATTAGATCCTACTTGTTAACCTACTGCTTCGTTGTAAGTTTAAATAATCATGTTATCGAACGTTCCTTTATTGAACCGAACTTTTTCGTTCATTATATATGTAGTTTGATTATTTGTCTATGAAGAGTTATGCATATTATTAGAAGTCTGACATTTTTGCATTGATTGTGTTTCTTTCTTCATGAACTGTATGTTTTATTATTATTATTATTATTAATACTCTTTTCAGCAACTGGCTACCAGTGTTCGTGCTTTATTAGATTCAGCACCAGCTGTAGGACGTGCAGCTTCTTCTGAAGCAGAACAACTTGGTCGTACTATACTTACATGGGATTCTTATCTTCCTGGTTTAGTTTCTGGTTCTATAGCTGCTGCATCACGTTCACCTTTATCAAGTATACAATTAGTATACTTAGATCATGCATGCACTGTTTTAGAAGCTGCTAGTCAACTAATTACTGTAGCTAAAGATTCTGGTGGTAATCCTAGAGTAAGTAGAGAATTGTGTTTGGTTTTTTTTAATCAATGTAATAAATCGTTTTTATTACGGTTGGATGTTGTAACCTGATTTTTGTTGCTATTATTGTGCTAATAATCTTACTTAAAAGTCTACGCAGTTTCTATATCTGTAATTTTTTTTTGTCTTCTATATTCTTTTCGCTTATTATTTAGGCTGTACATCTTCATGATAGTTTAAATGAATCTGTTCGTGGTTTAGTGGATTCATGTGAAGAATTCTTAACTATATTAGATGATGTAGCTTCTCGTCAAGGTCATGTGAGCACTCTTATTGACACGTTGAATCGTGCTCAAGCACAAGTATGTGTTTGGTTTTTTTTTCTTATGTTAATTTGTTTTAATTTTCTATATTTGCTTTCTTTTCAGATGTAATTAGTGATAGTTTGTACAATTTGAAGGTTGATAAGAAGTAGATTGTTATCATAAGCTTATATCATTGAGAAAAATTAGTGAAAATCCGAGATAAATCAATTAAAATATAACCTCTCTGTGCTTCATATACTTGATTAATCACTGAGTAATAGTCAATATCATGTTAGTTGAGTTCTCAATGGTGAACGCATACTTTCGATTAAGTTGGCTCCTAGTTTGAGTACATTGACATCGCATACACTGTGTTAAGCTATTCAGTAGTTGGTTCCATACTAGTCCGCACTCGTCAACATGCCATGCCTGCAATTTTGAGGGAAATGATACTCCCCGTGGGATTTGAACCAACATCAATCAATTTCGAGTCATTTATTACAGCCTAATCGATTAAAATTCAATCATCAATAAGGACTGTTCAAACATTATATTGGTCACTACTCAGTGGTCAGTCGATTGTAAATACTTCAACTCTACATTAGTTCTGTCACTGCTCAAATGGCCCATCACTTATGTTCTGGTCTGTGCAACTGTATGAGTCGCAGTGAAAGCATCAGCTCCCCTTAGACTTCAGGATCACTTTTCTTATAAGTTCTAACTAGCACAAAACCTTGTTACGGGGTTCCCTATCACCTAGTTCCAACCACCTAACAGTTCCGTTATTTCCATGACTCTTCAAATGATCTCATTTAGGCATCAAAATTATCTTAAATTTATCTTATTTATTGAAAAGTATACAGAATATAATTTATCGAAATGGTGAAAATAATATTTAACAATTTCTCTGCACTACTGTTCACCTATGAAAGTATGAAAGATATACGTATAGGTGTCCTTTTGCGTGTCCATCAAATAATCAAATTCTGAAGGTGAACATAGGATTTCAGGTGTTAATTGTAAATTGACTCACAAAGCTGTCAATCACCATTAACTCGGTTATATATATATATATATATATATATATATATATATATATAATGAATGTGATTTCCAAGTGGCTTAACCTGTCTATTATTATCAATGTAGTGCTTGTCCTAAATACGCAACAGCCTAATTGCCAATCTTCATTAGTAACACAAGATAAAATTAATAAGATGAATAGTCAAGAGGTAGAAATAATGTATTCGTAACAATAATAGGAGAGATTGATCATTAAAAATATAGTTGGGAAGGAAGGGTTAAGGACAGTGTACATGAAGAACTACAATAATTCAAGACCGAGAGGAAGATAAAAAGTGAGCGATTCTGAGTTATGTCATTGGACATCTATAACCATTGTCGTGATTATCATACGGGAATTTCATCCGGTCTCAAAACAGCAGAAAATAACGTTGTCAATTTTTACAACAAACTTGTCTTTCCACTTCTAACTCACTCCTACGCTAGTTCATAATTCCCATCGAGGTAAGCGATGATTTGATATATCTAACACATTCCCTGACTACCTCATCCAATCAAGATTTACTCCATCGACAGGAGATTTGCCATCTTGATCTAATAATACCCTATATCTAATCTCAGAATTTACTACTCTGTCATCTCACAATGCACGAGTAGTTAGTTAAACATCTCACTTGCTACACAAGTACTTTAACCACTAAACGACTACTTCATCCAAAGTAATTTGTGCATCTCTTTATTATATGATAATTTCTTTCTTTATATCTCTTTTTTATGTCGATTCTACACAATTTGTTAGCATTTGTTTCAACAAACACATTCACTTTTACTCATATTATTAACTTTGTCTTCTTTATCTATCCCAATGTACACTTACAATGAGAATATTCTATATGAATTGGTAAATTTACTTTATTTAGTTTTTTTTCCGTAAATTTAACAAATTACTATTATCCTTATTATTATTATTATTAAAACTGTACTTGTGTAATTTATGAAACTTTACTTGTTCATTTATTTACTAAGTTCTATTCTCGTGGTATGGCAACATGAACTAATGTACGTACGTACGAAGTTCTACATTGCTATTGATTGATTGAAGTTCTATTCTCTACATTGATATCAATGTAAATCTTCAACTGAATTGAGCTTGTAATTGTAATTCTTAAAATTAATCTATTTTACATGGAATATGGTATATTAGTGTAAGATACTTGTTATCATGATTACTATTGTGAATTATTTTAATTTGATTAAGGCGGAAGAAATTATTCAAGTACCTATGGATGCAAGATTTTCTGATTATCAAACACGTATGTTAAGAATTGCTCGACATATGGATCAATTGAATCAAGCAATACAATTACGTGCTAGACAACCTGCTTCCGATGGTGAGATTGCTCCATTGGCGCATAATTTAACACAGGTAAAGTCTATGGTGTTTTGTATGTTTGTTTGTTGTCGGTGTAATGTCCTTTTGTGTGCATGTGTGTGTGCGCCTATGTTCCTGCTATGCTGATTCTTTTGAAATCTCCTACTTTTGTGATAAGCTGATTGATTTCTCCATTTTGTTTGTACCTGAATTTTGAAAAACAAACACTTCGGTTTCAATCTAAGCAGGTATGTACACACACACACACATCATTTCTATATTGTTTTATAGAAAAAGGATCACATATGGGGATGTTTTCTGTGTACATTTTGATTCTAATAATTGCTAGATATAGATAGTGATTTTAGTTTTAAAAAGATGCTATCTGCAAAGGTGTAAATTTACTTTCATTGGACAAATTCTTGACCGAAAAAGAAAATAAATTATCTCTCATGGTATATTCTTATTGTTTCTATTTCACTAGCAGTTTGATGTGGTGTTTATGAAACCGAAAAAATATTTAAGCATTTAAATTCATGAAATCCTAAATAAGAAGAAGATATCAGAAGATTTTTAGGGTTAGGTTAGGAGAGGGTCAAGAGTAATTCAAGAAGTATTATTTTTTATTCTACTATATACAATAATCAATCAGTGAGCAGATAGATATTATTAAGACGTGACCAATGGAGTTCAACCCTGTCGGGTGTAGGCAGTAACTACCAGAGACAAATGGGTGAGGTCGCGCAAAAATCCCTAGATCAATCAGAGTTGGACACTAACACCATTGGATGCCTGCCCAGTGGTCCGATGGTTAGGCGTTCGCGCACAATATCGAAGGTCCCGGGTTCGAATCCTGCGAGGAGCAGGAGTCGTGGATGTGCACTGCTAATGAGTCCCATACCAGGACGAAACGGCCGTCCAGTGCTTCCAGGTTTCTAATAGTGATCTAACAATGATTGATTGATCATTTGAAAATGTGTAAAAACACAAACCTCCAAAACTCTGCCCCAAGATATTATTCAATTATAAGGTTATTTTTATTGCATGAAAACTCTTTAGATTCATATTCATGTATGCTCTTTTTTTGAGAAATACTGCAATAGTTCTGTTTTAGTACACAATCTTTACAATGATTAATTTTATCATTTTTTTTGTAACCTTTTTACAATTGTTCCGTTTAGTTACCCTTTTTTTGGCATCATCATCATTGTTATTGTTTATTAGCATAATTGAACTGTATAATTGATGTTTTAAAAATGAACATTTTGATATCTTTGCTACATATATATATATATATATATATATATATATATATATAGTTTGTGTATCTATATTTTTTGAATGAATGTGTACACATCCTGTGACAATGTTCAATTTCATGTTCATACACGAATTGTATACATGAGTATGTGCGTGCGTGTATATATATATATATATACATATATATACATATAGATATTAATAACAAGTATTTTCACTTCATTTACAAATAGACTTAAATTATTTAACTATTATAAATTAAATAAAATTTTAAACGATAAAATTTTCATGCTAAAATATTCAGTATGTACAACGTCAATATTTCTGACAGATTGTGATTTTAAAAAAAAAAAGTTTTATTTATTGAAAAAAATAATCGTTTTATTTCATATAAACAAATCCAACAGTCGTTCGTTCTATGTTATGTTGTTGAAGGTCAATCATACTACCAAAATTACTATATTTTATTTTATTTTATTCAAATTTCAACTCCATTGAAAGTTGAGCGAAAAAAAATAAAACTACTACTGTTTGTTTGATGAAATTAACCTGTGATGATTGGTATTCACTAACATTGCAACTTTCTGTGTGTTAGGGAAAACAACTCTTGATTCAGGCTTAATACATTGTGTAATCATTAGTCGACCAGTAAGTAGCGATGAACAATATGTTTTTCCCAGTTATTTAGCCTACTGATACTATTAACTTATTCTATAAAAACTTCATTCAGAATATATACGTTTATCAAGTAATCTATTGGTTTGTTCCATGACTTTTGAAATTAAGAGCCAACACTTATAAGCTTCTCATAAAGAGGCCGTGCGTAAGTGGCCTCAAGTAATTGTCCCTTAGGCTTTGTGGTTACACTTCCAAGTCATCAAAACGAATTAGGGTAACCAGTGTCAGCTTATCTCAAAAACCTCATGACTGCTATACTTGAAATGAGATCGCCTAACAACATCTATAGCATTCATTCAAGCTACAAATGCTCTGCATAATTTCCCAATATTCATCTACTCATTGACACGAAAAATTATCTTATTTTTCAAGAATAAATATCCTGCGATTGAATCCATATGATGACGGTGATTCTGTCGAAAAGTACCTAAGGTAAAAGAAAATTATCTGGGATTCCTTGTTTGTTTGTTTTTTAGTGGTTCTTTCAATTGATCTCCAGTCCCAATAACAAAAGAGTTATTTTACTGCAACAAAGAAATTTCAGCAAAATATGTAAATTAATCAAAATTGAATTTATCACAAATAACTAACAATGAAAATTCTAATCATTAATTAGTTCATATTCATGAAAAGATACATTGAATATCAAGTGTATTATTATGTTATAGATCGATAATTAATTTAGTTTGTAATACAGACCAAATATTGTTGTATGTACAGCAAAAGTAGTGTGATCAAGTTGATGAAAAGCTATTCAGTTTACTTTTCGAATTACATACATACATACAAACTAAATTTTATAATTAATTTTTATTTAATCTATATTATTATTATTATTAACTAGGAATATCAAGAATTGTGTCAAACATGTAAAGGTGCAGCTGCAACTTTACCCAATGTTAACCAAGCCGATCAATTGAGATCAGCTGTACGTGGTGTTGGAACAGCGTGTATCAGTTTGATACAAGCTACAACTGCAAGTCGTTCAGATATTTATGGATCCGGAACAACAGGTGGTCAACATTTACTTTTTAGTCGTAATAAAAATATAGCTGAATTAGATCGACGAGCTGAATTCTTGGATTCAAAAGTAAGTATTAAAGGTTTATTTTATTTTATTTTCTTCATTGAAAACTAAACATCAGATAGTATTATTGCATTGTTTCGTTTTCTTTAAATCGGTAAATTTCCAAGGTCTCATTGAGAGAACAAAAAATCTTTTTCTCGTGCATAAACCTAATAACACTCAAGATTCATTGTCTACATACATTTCTCACCTTTTCTTAATTTGCCAATCACAACACTAGAAAGATCATAAAGTACTTTGTATTCCTATTTATTATTCAGACAAAAAATTCACGTGATTATTATACACATAAAATATGAAGATACGACTCAGCATGAATTATAGATTTCATTATGTATATTTGTAATGCAAAACTGAGTAACATGTTTGTAATTAATTTGCTGCCGTTCTTATGAACGGCAAACGATACAGTTATAGTTAATAATTTGAGTAAAAACTTACAAGTTGGATGACTTGAAGTTACTATAGACTGATTGGTTAACGAATAAATATTGATATATATATAGAATAGCTTTCAAAGTTTCACATTTTTAATCATGCATATCTTGTCTGATCAATATGAAATTCATACCTGATAGAGAATACAGATTTTCTGTTTGAGTTTAAGTACATTTTATTAGTGATTTTGAACGAATTATTACTAATTATTGGATATATATATTCATGAATTCTACTTGGAGCCATATTTCAATTGTGGTCGCGTTTTTAATGATAGGGGAGTAAGGTTTGAATTTGCAACTCAATGATTGAGCTTACCGTCCCATTGACTGTCAACAAGTGTATCATTTAAATTCAAAATTTCCGCCAAATCACCTTTAACTATCATTTAGTGCGAAGTTGATGAAAATTAATTGATTCATTTTAAGTCATTAGGAGATTATCATCTTAATTTTTACATAACAAAATACTCATTGAAAATTTAGTAGTATTTATCCGTGTGTATTCATGTAGGTCTACTTGATGATTCATTCAAATTTATAATATCAGGACTTACTAAACATTAGATCAATTTGTCTTTATTGTACATACAGAATACTAACATCCGTTTATTGACTATACAGTGTGTTATTGTCATGAAGATCTCATAATTAATTAGTATACGTAAACTGAACGAATTCATGAAATCATTGTTTTTTAACTTATATTTCTATCTTATTATCATCGTCATCTCTTTTTTTTTCATACAGTTGCGTAACTTGATCAATTTACTTGAAACTCATGGTCCTGGTACACAAGCTTGTTTACAATCGGCTAGCACTGTCAGTGGAATTATTTCAGATTTAGATACAACTATTCTATTTGCTAGTTCAGGCACATTACATCCACCTATTCGTGATGATTTCGATGCTATATGGACTGATAATGAATATCATCATTCACGATTACCAACAACTGATCGAAGTCATTATCTAGGATTATCAACTAATAATGTAGATGGTACTAGTCTACCAAGTCGTGCTGAAAGTCGATCAGAAATGCACAATGCAGAAAATTTCACTCCTTTAAGGTTTAGTTGAATTGTTTTATGATATTATTTGTTTAAAATTAGTTGTTTGTGAATCTCCAAGTTTATTTTGTAATATACTATATATTGGTGAGATAAATTGTTTGAAGCTAAAAGATATGCGAAAGTTCAAAGTATTTATTCACTTGATATCGTTGTTTTATTTTTGTTTGCTTCATTGTGTATCTCATTATCATTCACAATCATTTAAAAACATTTGTAGTCGTCATTCTGTAGTATTTTTTTCCTGAATTTCCAGCTAAGTTCCATAGTATCCCAGATTAAATTAAACTTTTACTGTGTATTACATCCAATGCATTCAGTATGATGGTCGGATGTGTTGTGATCCTTTATTAAACTGTTAACTAGCGTTGAATTACGAACACTGTACATTCAATGAAAATTTTTAATGATTCCACATAAATGTTAGTTAATATCCCTCATTAAGCTTATTTGAGTACACAAAAATGTACATTATTTGTGAATGACACTAGCCGAGCTATTTTGCAATGTCGCTAACTCAAAAACTTAATGATTGTTCTAATTGAAATGTCAAGTTGCTTCGACTAGTTTCTTTTAACTAACAGTTATCGATTGGTAAACTATGAGCCAGTTGTTATACACGAATGATAATAGTGCTGAATATTTTTTTTACAATAAAATGGGTTGTGTATTATAATCTGGATTTATAACTTGTTAAGTTTTTCAGTGTCCAAGTCTACTACTACTGATCTGTACGCTTCCTACATCAGAGCATAAATCAGTTATTTGATTTAGAACACTTACAATTATATTTTTTTTCCCCGATTCAAAAGTAAAGTTACATTTTTCAACTAATAAGCTGTTCTTTCTTAAGAAAATGAATCTCAATCATATGCGTGTATCTTTTAGCTTATATCTAATTGACCTGATAAGATCATCTTTCCTTCTTGAAAAAAAAACAAAAAGAGAAAAGTTTAATTTTTCCAGTTCATTTGCTGAAATTTAGTTAGGGGGCGGTGAGGTAAGGTAGGGGTTAGAATGTAACTTTATAGTTGTTCACTTATTATTCAGATTAACAAAAAAAAATTCTAATTATCATCATTATTATGCGTTATCATCATTACAATGAATAATCAATAGATTCTAATGTTGTTTTCATCAATTAATTCAGTCTACTAGAGTTAAGTTAGTTGATCAGTGCCAATTGGAATTAGTTTAAATATAATATCCTATTTTTTTTGACATTATTAACTTAATCAATTCGTTTTTTTTTATTCCCGGAACAACCAACATATCACAGTAGAATGAAATGTGAAAGTATAGAAATTTATTCTGTAAAATATTCGTTTTCTTGCATTTAATTAGTGAATTATTTCATTATAACAATATGAATTCATTGTATTGATTTGATTTCAGAGAGAGTATAGCTCGTACTGCACGTGCACTTGTCGATGATACTCAATCGTTAGTTAGTGGAACTGGTGAAGATCAAGCACGGTTAGCTAGTACAGCACATACAGCTGTAGAACGTATCACTGAACTTGCTGATGTTGTTAAACGTGGTGCAGCAGTGATTGGACCAGGTCAACCAGACACACAGGTATGTTTAAATGATTTGAATGTTGTTGTTTTTTCGGAAAGCAATAGTAAACTAGAAAATGTTAGACTAGATTTATGATTAAATATATTCCCGCTATTTTTTAAAAATAAATTCCCATCATAAATCACTAGAAATTAAGATAGCGTTCAATATATGTTTCGTTCCAGTCTGGAACTCCTCAGTAGTTCATAATTACGAGTTTGTATGTCGTTCAATCGTGTGTCTTCCGGTTGTGTGATCAAAATAACTTTCAAATTTTAAGTTTCCACTAAGTTATATATATACTGAGTGCGAAACTCTTATGATTTCCAACGTCTGACATTTGAATGCCATTATACACTAACCCGCCAAACTGACTTCTTGAGCAAGAAGTCGAAAGCGGAAGAGAAGGTCTAATTGACTAGATATTCATTACATATTTGTATACCTTCCTACCTCTTATAAAATGAATCCCTTTCTTGACTTATATGTATCCGTTCTTCAGGACACTTATGATCATCATCAAGTGACCTCACTTAGCCTCTTCTGATTGACTCATTATAACAAGAACTTTGGACTGTTAGGCCTATTCGTTTCTAAACCAAGTTGAACAATTATAAAAAAGCTCACACTACATATTATTGACTTATTACAGTGAAAGTATGTTTCTATTCGAAACAAAGATAAGTATTATAGTTAATTTCATCTAGTCTCTTATGCCAACACTTTTTTCATCGTTTCACAATTTTCTCATATATTAATAATACAATATATATTTATGATACTTTAACATGTTTTTACTTTCTCTGTCTATCTCTCTTAATTTCTGTCGCTTTCTTTTTCCACTTTTTTAAATGTTTATAATTAGTCAACTGTTAAAAAATTACCAACTCATTCACAATTTTTTTCGACTAAATTCTTTTTATGTTGCTTGCTACTTGTCACATTTTAGAATAAATAATGTTAAAAGAATTCTCAATTCATTAATTAATTAATCAATTCATTAATTAATTACATTAATTATACTAATTATTACATAAATTATCGCTTTTCTCTTCGTCTACACCGGTAGCCAATTGCATATGACTCAAAGCAAAAACCATTATTTATTTGATTTTTAATTCTAAATGACATTGTCTCTCTTCCGCTGTTGCTTGCTTGCTCACTGTGTTACTCACTTTTTCTGTTTGTTTTTTCTCTTGATCTTATTTCTTTAAATGAGAATTATTGAAATCCTTGTTCCAACTTTTTTTCATGTTCTTCTTCCCTATCCTACGAATAGTAGCTTAGATGATTGTTTTGCAGATAGGGCTTTTCTGAAGGAATCAAATTCTTCTTCAACATACTTAGCATTGCAGATCTTACATAACCGGTGTCACAGAATGCCAGGGTAATTTCTTATTCTAAGTTGTTCCCTATCTTTTACCCCTTATATTACTGAGTAGGTAATATCTGTGATGCTGAGTATGTTGAAGAACAAAGTATTTTTCTCAGAATAGTTATTATTTGAAAGAAAATCAGAACATAGATTTCAGAAATTCCATTTCAAAGAGGTATATTTATTGTCTTACATATTTACCTGTGAGAATACATCTTCAACTATTGTAAGTGCACTTAGTCAAGTATAGGATATTTTTTTCTTTTTCTTTCGCTTGTTATCCCCAATGAAGCATAGGCCGCTGACCAGTATTGTCTAAACAACTCTGTCCTGGGCTTCCTTTTTCAGTTCTGTCCAATTTGTGTTCATTCTTTTCATATCGTTCTCTGTTTCGTGGCGTAATGTGTTCTTTGGCCTTCCTCTTTTCTTTTGATACTGAGGGTTCCAAGTGAGAGCTTGTCTTGTGATGTAGTTGGGTTCTTTCCTCATTTCTTGTCCTATCCACTTCCACCCCTTCTTCCTGATTTCCTCCTCCATCGGAATGTGGTTTGTTCTCTTCCATAGTTGGTTGATGCTGATGGTTTCTGACCAACGAGTTCGAAGTCTTTTGCGTAGATAACTGTTCATAAATACTTGTATCTTCTAGATGATGGCTTTCTTAGTTCTCCAAGTTCTCCAAGTATACGATGTATATAGGATCATATTAAATTTCTTGTTTAGCAATAGGAAAAGTATCTGTATTTCTTCTCTTTATTTTTGCATTTACTGCGTACTAATTAATGATAATAAAACACACAGTTGAGATTGCAATAAATAATTCTATGTGACATTTACACTTATTGCCAATAATGATTTGAAGTTTTCTTTTCCCTGGGTTTTTTTTTAATCTTGAAAAAAAAAAAACTAAAAAACAGTTTCATTTCATCATAATGATTAAAAAATAAAAACACATTATTTTCTTCATTATGCACACCAATTACTGAGAAGCATTTATTTATTTATTTAAAAAAGTATGCACTTTCTAATTGAAAGAATAAGAAAGTATAAAACAAACACTAACATGTTCAATATATATATCACTCACTTTGGATACATATTATATATGCTCACTGATTCATTCATTCATGCATTCATGCGTACCGCTATAATGTTTGTTTTTTTTAAAATTTTTTTAAACAATTCACTAAATTAATATTCATTGTTGAAATGATTGATTAATTAATTAAGAAGTGCATGTTGTTCTTCTGCAACAACAACAACACTAACAACAATTTAGTTTTAAATGACCGATTCTAATTGTTTGTTATTCTTGTGAATACATAAATAACAACATCGCTACAAGGAGTGCTGGGCAATGGACAACTTTGAATATAAAAATTCACAATGACTACTACTAGCCTATTAACTTGAGGTTACAAATTCTACTTAAAAAGGAGAATTATTAATATTAATAAATTATATCAGTGACAATGTTCATGTTGAACTAAATTGTTGAACATGTAAGAAAAATCTACTGAATTCAATTTATACGATGCTCTTGAAGTAAACGGCTATCGAAAAAAAGAAATAAATGTCTTTACTGATGCGATCAGTACATTGTCGATCAATAGAATGTTACTTCAATTTAAAAAAAAATTATATAAGAACTTTTGTGGAAAAGTACAAGTAGAGCTAATGGCTTTATCTTATCAATTTATAGTTAAGTTGTGATAGTGTTCTAGGACAGTGACGTAATAAAATTGATCAGCTGACTGAAAGTAGACAATCGAATTCACGAAACAACACAAATCGAACAATTTTTCATATAAAACTGACTTATCTAATAACTTGACAAAGTTGATACATATATTCAAAAGTGAATCAATTCATTTTTACTAATACAAATATAATATATAGGTGAAGGTAGAGATGAGAACATAATTATACAAAACACTCTTTTTAGTAGGCAATTAACATGGATTGATAAAACTAAAAATCAATATTGTCTGGCACATAAGTTAATTTTACAAGGTTTACTGCAGTAAATTGTTTTGAAGCCTGTCCTCGCACTCAATGTTTCTTATATCTCTACACTAATGAGGTATCCGAAACTAAGATGACACGAGCATTTTAGCGACATTGTCTAGCTTAAAAATCAAAACTACGGTTTCATTTCATTTCACACTGGCACACACTATTATCGATACAGCTATAGCAACTGTTTTGGTATTTGTTTATACTTTCCCATGTGTTCAACACACACACAAATACATGCTGTTGCGTAATCAAACAAATGTCATTCAGTTTATGCTTACTTATTTGTTGTTATTAATTGTGACTATGATAGATTAGACATAGACAGATTAGACATAGCGATTATATAATTAATCATTTAGTTTATGGTCTACACATTGTCTGTCAATTATCACTTCAATTTTTAAAATCCATAGGATCTTATAGCTAGCTACACATACATACAACAATTAAGGCGCATTTAATATGTATGTGTAATTTGTTTTATCGCATTTGTACATTTGTTTACCTATGTAAAAAAAATAATATCAAGTCAATACATATAATGTTTATTGTTTGGTGTATATGTTTATTGAAACGGTAATAGTGTTTACAATCGGCTAAATTAAAATCACCTTGATCTGTTACCGTGGCTTAATAGTAATTTAAAGCGGGAAGAGGGCTATTTTCATCATGAATCTCTATTGACAATTAGTAGACACTGGAGTCCAATATTTCATCTTAGTTTATGAAATGTCAATAATCCGTATTTACACAATACTATGTACAATAGACCTCTTTAGATTTTTAAGTCTTACTACGAATATGATAACATTGAATTACTGTTCTAAAAATCCACTAATCCATATTTTCAACTCCGACCAACTGACATTGTTGATAAATTTGTGGGATTTAAAATATATCAAATAATATTGAAACTAAGGACGTTGATGTTTTTAAAGCATGTCATTCATCCAACTTCATCTATTTCGATCATGATTATTGTATAAACTTCAACCTGGTGATTGGTCTCCACTTACCAACACATAGTCTAAATCACAAGTCGTGAACTGGACTCACACTCCCTCCCACCCCCCGCACATCAGCCCTGAACTTTTTAAAATAAAAAAAAACTATTTCTACACTAATAAGCCTCTTATTAATTGTACATAATATTTATCACATTGGTTTATTTCATTTCTGGACAAGCAATTGTCTAATTGTAATAAGTAAGATATGTTAAATTACACGCATTATTAATTTTGGCAAATTGACTTCGTTTTTTTTTCTTCGCTCGATCAATACATTAACAACTTGCATAGAATAGACGCAAACAACAATATAATAGAGAAAGAAGGAATATATATATATATATAAGACAAGAAAAACCAATTTGTCTTTTTTGTTCCTAAAGAAAAAAAAACTGTGAACACATAAAATATAGAAAAAGTTCATCGTTTATCATCAGGACATCGCTCTCTCTCTCTCTCTCTCTCGCTTAATATTAAAATTGTTATTGACAGATGAGTAGATAATATGTGTTCGTCTAACTATTCTCGATTGCCAATTGGAGAAAGATTTATGAACTTTATTTATTCTCGGACTAATGTAATGCAAGTTTCCAATTAAGAAATATATTTATTCCATTGAA